CCTGACTCGTAACCACTACGCTACTCTACCGCAAGATTCTACATTCCCATGTGGCCGAGGCTCTATCCCTTTCATTGCTGCATTCCTAATCCAGAGCCTGACACACTATTGCAACTAAACAAACACTTATCACAGGAAGGGCAGTTTGGGGTAGATTACAGAGTAACTTGAACTCTGGGCAAAGTAAATTCAGTGTCTTCTGTTGGCAGTTGGAAGAGTTTGAAATGCTTTGTTGGCAACGGAGTGTAACATATATTGGACAAAGAAAAGAGCAGAGGACTAGCCAAGAGGCTATTGCCGCAATCCAGGCAAAAAGCAACACGAGCTGGAATGAGGGTGGAGGCTGAGTGAGGAGAGGCAGCAATTAAAGACATATTTATCTACAGAGTCCAATTGGCCACAGGCTGACATCCAGTACTGAGACCTTTAGGGATTCTATTCAATCAGATGTGGGTTAGGATTTTGTGCATGTCATACCTCAAGTAGATAGAAGAGGAGATGTTTCTCATGCTTGCATGGGAAAAATAGCTAATAAATAAATCCATGTGGGTTTTCTCATAGTCATGCACAATTACGCAAAATCTGTGAATGAGGCATGGGAACATTTGCTATCCCTCCATATGTTGGGCAGAAATCCATAATCATATCTGTGAAAGTCCAAGGTCTTCAGTGTGGACTTTGCTCAGCTCATTAGCAGGTGGTTTACTTAAAACTAAAATGGTTTTCCAGGGCAGTGCTTTTAAGGCAAGCACTCTTTACAGTCAAATATGTCCCCACTGTGGTTTCAGCACATGGCTCTCAGCAGGATTTGGGACTGTATCCTGGATGGGATCATTGATCTGTGGCCCAAATAGATCATATATGTTTCTCTGAAGTCTTCCAAGCCTTGACTGTGAGCAAAACAATGGACATTCCTCTCTGATTTTAGGGCTCAATGACTTTTGGCCAGGTGCCTGCTGTTCACTTTGTTCTCCGTGAGCCGGTTCCCGGGAAGCCTGGTACTTGGACTGGGCCTGGATTTGCCAGCGTTCTCTCTGGGGCTGGTTTAAGATTCGCTGTCAGCAACATTCCCTTCCCCATGGACTTCACAATCGCCATTCGCTATGAAACTCAGGTATCCTCTAACTCTGACCTTCCTTACGGGGAAAAAACTGACAGAATAACATTCTCAAACTGTTTCCATTTCAGCGTTGCTAGATAGATTCATCATACAATGATTTGCAAAAAAGTAGACCAACTGGAGAGCATTATAAACTAGAGGGCTGCCTAGGGAGATTAGAGCAATATAGTTAGCCATATACACACATGCTATATCCCACAGAGAGAGGCTAAAGTTGGGAGTCTGAATTTCAGATACAAGGTTAAGAGAGTGGTGATTGAATCTTTTTATAAGAACCATAAACATCTAAAATAACACAGATCCTGTCCTCCTGGGACTTTCATTCTAAAAATTAAATCAATCAAAATGCATGCAGACATTCAGACTTACAGCATTGTGGAAGAGATTTTATTTGCATTTGGATTTTATCCTGAAAAAAGAGAAAGAGTGAACACAGTCTGTTCCTCTTGCCTCTTGCTACCGTGCAATCATCTTACCCTCCTTTCTAGAAATATCTAAGACAAAATTAGAAAAATACTGGATTTTTAACAGTAGTTCTTAACCTTCTCTTTGCATACTCACACTTTTGACCATCTAAAAAGTCATGAGCCATCTCCCATGCGAAATATTGTATATGGCTTGGGGTGAGGAGTCTTGAGACCCCGAAGCCCCACATTCTGAGACCCTCACTTTTTGATCTGCCTTGAAACTCTTGCTATGACATTATTTTCTGTTTCTCATAAGTGATAGCCAAAGGACTTGAGTGAATTTTGACGTGGTGAGTATGACGAGAAAGTCTTTTTTATTTATTTATTTATTTATTTATTTATTAGGTTTTTATTGTGATTTGAGTGAAAGTTTACATGGCAGATCATCAGTTTTACATTCAACAAACCATATACTTTGTTTCATTACAATGATTATAATCCTCTCTATGTACCATCAGTTAACAGTATTTCTCTCTATCCACTTCAGATTTTTTTCTTTTATTAAACACTCAGGCAAATATAATCATTTAAATCACCAAAAGGCAAATTCTGAAAGCCTGCCTCCTGGCCACCAGCTCTCAGTCTTTCTCTTTCCATGAATCTAGAGTCCTCAGCTGCTCCCTCTCTCCATGTCCCCATCTCTGCCTCCATGTCTTGTGTCGCTGCTTCTCTGGATAGGGTCCCGCATTCTGCTTGTGCTCTTCTCCCTTGGTGGTTCTAGGGCCTCTGTTCCTGGAATGTAAGAATAACCACTCCCCCATTTTTGTTACAAAACTTCTGCCTTTACAGTTGTGACAGTCGCAATTAATCATGTTGACAGTTACTCACTATTGAATCATGAGAATCTTAAAAGACCAGACCCATCTAGACAAGATGAAACTATTCCGTGGGGACTCTATCTTCCCACACACACTCTTAAACTAAACTCCCTCTTGAAACCTTTTAAGCCAGTAACTTCATGCCTTTATCGCCCCCTCATTTTAGGTAGCCAATGTCTAAGTTGCCTGTTCCGATCAACCCTGTATACAGAAGAGATAGCATTGATACTTGATGAGAAGACTCCTTCCCTCTCTGTTGGTATTTTGAGCTACTACATCCATGAGTATCGGTCAAGTTCATCAAATTGTGGCAATTTACCCTTGTTTCCATTATTTAAAAAAAAATTTTTATTTTATTTTTTTAATCATCCTCTAGTCAAGTTCTGATTGTGAAGCCATTGAGCTAGGTCAAATGGGTACTATCTGCAAGTTTGGGTGTTCTTGTGCATCTCCCCTCACTTCATATCAGCTGGGTGCTTCACTCTCAGCTCTAACTCTCTGTGGCTATGTCCTTGTCCTTGGGCTCAGGTGTCCCCAGATTTCACCACACTTTGGACCAACCAGCCCTTCCTCTTCTCTTCTCATCTCCAGGTTAACAGGAGTCAATGGACCGTGGTTGAACTCAGCCCATTTCTTCATTGCTGCCTTTCCCCCTCTTCCACTCACCAGTAGACCAGCAAGTTTACATGCCTGCTCATGTGTTTCCTTTGAGCTTCAGTCTTAGGTGGGGGTTTGTCCTCAAGAGACTTGATTGCTTGCCTTGATGGCTTCCAGGCAAACAACTTGGTTATTCTTGTAATAGCCAATAAGACTGTTATTTTTGTTTTGGGTTTTTCCTGATGATCTTTCTTTGAAGCTGTATCCTCTGTTGCTCTAGCTGTTCCAGGCTGGTCTGCTTGTCCTTTTTAGTGGGAATGTCCCACCTCAGAAGGTTCTGGATGGGACTCAGGATTCCACCTAACATCCTATGTACTGCAAAGGCTCTGCAAGAGGCCTATTTCACTGGGCAAGTTCTAGAAAAGAAAGTCATTTTAAAAAGAAAAATATATTATTTTATCCATAGAAAGAATAGGAAGTCCTGGTATTGCGGTGGGTTGAGCGTTGGCTACCAACTGAATGGTGGGTGGTTTAAACCCTCCAGTAGCTCTGCCGGAGAATGCTGTGGCAGTCTGCTGTCATAGAGATGTGCAGCCTTGGGAACCCTGCGAAGCAGTTCTCTTCTGTCCTATAGGGTTGCTGTAAGTCACAATTGACTCGATGGTGGATGGACTTCATTTTTGTTTTTGTTTTGTTTGGGGGTTGTTGTTTTTGTTTTGTTTTTTTGTAGAGATAACATGCATCTGACAGCTTGAAAAGCATTTCTAAATTGGATGACTTCATGTATATCTGAGAAAAAATGACAGAGGAACCAAATTATTATTCTTTGCTCTGTGTCCCAGGAGGATGACAGATTAATTGAGTGCTTGGGAGATGAGTTAAAGATTAGACCTCTCAGGAGTGCCAGGGGTTTTCCATGCCCACAAATTATAACTTTAACGAGAAAGAATATTCTTCCAGCCTGATCACAACTCAGACACCAGAGAATCTGACTCAAGAGTGACCCTCTAAGACTTCTTTCAACCCCCACAGTTCTATCCAACAAATGGACTCCAGCTGGCAAATTCAGTTCATGTGCCATCTGTGTGTGTGTTCAGAACAGGTTCCTATGTCCTCGCATGCTTAGATTACAAGTGACCTGTTTTTATTTGATTTCTGTCTAGTCCACAGCTGACTGGGCTGCCCAGGTTGTGGTTACCCCCCCTGGAGGACGGGAGCACTGCACACACAAGACCCCACAGCTCAAGCCTCCGTCTTTTGCTTTACCAGCAGCTGCAAGGTATGCTTGGGACCTTTCCTCAAACATGGATGGTTTCTTAGAATTACATATCAATAATTTGTATCCTGGAACTAAGTGAGCTGAGCCAGGGGAGGATATTGAAGAGAACGCTAACACTGATTGAGTGCTTACTGTGTGCTAAATTATGATGGCATTTAATCAGCTCTATGAGATTGTTGAGGAGCTCTGGGAGCAGAGTGGGTTATGCTAACATCAGTTTGAATCTACAAGCCATTCCACAGGAGAAAGATGAGACTTTCTGCTCCCATAACAATTTACAGCTTATAGTGTGTTGCTATAAACCAGAATCGACTCAATGGCATACGACCACTACCATCATCACCATGAGACGGTTACTAACGTCATCTGATGAGAGGACAATTGAGGAGGAGTTTTAAGTGACTGGTTCAAGTCTCATACTAATTTGAAGCTGAACCAGGAATCTAAAAAGGTCCTTTTTCAATGGCCACATAGCCTTGAAATATCAGAAAGTGAAATGTTACAAGAATAAGAGCAAAAGGTTTAGCCTGAAGAATCTCAAGCAGCTGAGAGTCTATAAGGTAAAAAGATACTAATTCTGATGGCACTAATTTTGCCTCATCAGAGATGTGTAGCAAAATAAAGGAGAGCATATCAAATAGGAGGAAGGATGTCTGTCCCATCCTCTCCTCAAAGTTGCCATGATGACCACGGTCAATAGCTTCTAAGGCATTGCTGTCTGGCACAATCCTATAAAAGAGCCATGGGGAATCGGAGTGTGAGCAACCCACCCGTGCTGGTCTCACCTAGCCCTGGTCTCAGTTCCACAGCAGAGTGAACACCATGAAATGCTAGGGTCATTTAAGTTCTATGACTGTACTTCTGTCAGTTCATTTTGGGCTTATTTATGTCAATCCAGAATCGTGCTGCTTCCCACACCCATCTGTTTAGAACCAGATGTACAATATTCCATAGATGTCTATTTTTCTCAGCCGTTGAAAGGAGAGTCCCACGCTCATTCACACATCCTGGTTGACTCTGTAAGTATTAGAGAGCTTTGTGGGTGCTCCCTTGTCCACTGAACTCCACTATGGCTCCTCTGGATAAATGTGCCTTGAACAATACAGATGTGTATGTTTAACTTTAAAAATTAGCAACGATCTAGTTATGACAAGGGGCCCCAGTAGTGCAATGGCTAAGCGCTCAGCTGTTAACCAAAACGTTGATTGTTCGAACTACCAGCCACTCTGTGGGAGAAACTTGTGGCAGACAGCTTCCATTAAGCTTGGAAACTCTCTGAGGCAGTTCTAGTCTGCCCTGTAAGATCAGCATTGACACAGGGGCAGCAGCAATGGACTCAAGTGTAACAACAGTTGTGAGGTTGGAGCAGGACTGGGCAGCGTTTAGTTTTGTTGTGCATAAGGTCGCTATTAGTCAGAACTGACTCGACAGCACCTAACAGCAAAAACAATATACTTCATATCCTAATCTTACTGAACTCTGCGTACTTCAAAGATTAGACCAGATAAGTGCAACAAGTAAGTGGATTTTTTGAAATTCAATTGAATATATGAAGGAGCTGTAAATAGTTCATGGAAAAAAATAGAATTAAAGCCCCCTCAGATATCTGTTTGATCTTTTGTAAGTAATAATTCTCTTGTGTGTAGTTGTGGGGAACAAAAACTGACATGAGCTAACTCTCAGAAACCTCAGAGGAGGCCCTAGGTCCCTCTAGGTCAGAGTTCCTCGAAGCAGAAGCTGAGAAGGGGACTGGGGTACATGTGCTGTCTGGACCACATGCTCCTGGGAGGGCTGAGAGGAACTGGACAGTGTATGGGAAGGAAGGGGCCAAGCAAGGATGTATATGTCCTCCAGAAAATGTCTGTGTCCTTTTCCAGAAAATTCCCTTAGCTACTTGACCAGAAATTACTTTTCTAAATAAAGTTCACTTACCTTGGAACGTTCCCTCTGAAGTGAAGCAGAACAGGAAACACGCCACAGAATCCATCCCACCTGGAGACAGAGGAGACAGCCCTAGTGGCCCTGCGTTTAAAGCACTCTGCAGTCATTGAAAGGTTGGCAATGTGAACCCACCAACTGCTTTTCAGGACAAAGATGTTGCAGACTAGTTCTGTAAAGATTAGATCCTTAGAAACCCTTTGGGGGCAGTTCTACTCTGCCTTTGAATTATGGTGTTGATGAAGAATATTGAATATACCATGGACTACCAGAAGACAGCTGTCTTAGAAGAAGCACAGCCAGAATGCTCCTTAGAAGTGTTGATGGCGTGGCTTCATCTCTGGTATCATGAGGAACCAGTCTCTGGAGAAGGACATCATGCTTGGCAAAGTGTAGGTTCAGGTAAAAAAATAAAAGGACCCTCAGTGAGATTGATTGACACAGTGACCTAACAATGGACCCAACTACTGGGAAGACGGCATAAGGACTGCAGGCAGTGCGTCCTTCTGTGGTGTATAGAGTACCTATGAGCTGGGATTCACTCAAGGGTACCTAACAACAACATAAACTAAACACTGTGGCAGACATTGGCGTAAACAACACAAGTATCGTCCCTGCCCCATCCAAAGGGAAGAGGCCAGCAATGAAACATAAAGACAGCCTGGTATGAAAGATACTGGGCACTCTGTCAGGGGTTTACACATGGACCAGGCAACATTGAAGGCATCCTGGAGGAGATGACATCCAAATTGAACCCAGAATTGGTCAGCCAAGAAGGAGGGTGAGTGAGAAACAATAATAGTGAAGGCCCATTATGGAGACAGAGAGTCCCTGGGTGGTGCAAATTTTGAAGACACTCAGCTCTTATAAAATGTTGGAGATTTGAGAACATTCTGAGGTAACTTGGAAACTGGTCTACTTCCAAAAACCAGCTACTGAAACCACTGTGGGGCCCAGTTCTACTGTGACACTCATGAGGTCACATAAGTCAGATTTGACTGCACGGCAACTGTTGGCTCTTTTATTGTATTTTATTTGGGTGTAGAGTGAGGAGAAGAGAGGAACTGAACAGTTCAGTGAGGCTCAACCTCATCTAACCCTTTGTACTACAAATAGGTCACAATACCCTTTACTACTGTGAAATGGAATTCATAAGCATTATATATAAAGTTTGCCTATAGGAGTCCTGTTGTGGCACTATAGCATAGGCACTGGGCTACTGGCCACAAGGTCAGTGGTTCAAACTCACCAGTCACTCTTCAGAAACCCTATACAGGGTCACTGTGAGTCTGAACTGACTCAATGACACTTAACAACAACAGTAAATAGGGAATGTGGTGGCTCTGTAGGATATACTGGACTTAGAACCACATGGTAGGTGGTTCAAGCCCACCAGCTACTCCATGGGAGAAAGATGAGACTTTCTGCTCCGGCAAAGTCTCGAAAACTACACAGGGTCACTATGAGTCAAAACCAACTTGATGGCCCTTAACAACAACAACATAGTATGCCTGACATATAACTTCCCAAAAATAGCAATGCACTACTATTAATACAAAAGAAAAAATATATGGAAAGTAATTTATGAAGAAATAATGTGCATGTCAAGCTGTATGTGCCAAGGCACAAATATACCAGAAACCATCATGAAGTAGAACTGGGACCATATATATAGAACCACTTACACGAGACAGCCACAAAATAAATATGATCATATACCTAGAACCACGACACATGAGCCAGCCACAAAATAAATGGGACCATATACCTAGAACCCACTACACGTGAGACAGCCACAAAATCAGGGTGGTGTGTTGAGGACTTAGATACCTGGAGCCAGCATCACCATTGGTGATACAATTTTCTGAATGAAAAATTTATCTTAGTTAAAGCTCAAAACAAAACAAAGTGGTAGCCTTCCCTTGACTCACATTTTGCATCCCTGGAAATTTCAGTGCATTCAGAAAATACAAATTGCATCCCTGGAAAATTCAGTGCATATAAAACTATGCAAAACTTACTTCATGTTCATGTGTTTAAGAACATATAGCTAGAATCTCTCCTCAGATAACTATAAACAGTCTTTTTCCTACATGGAATTCACAAAGGCTGTAGGGAACATGGGATGACTTTCCATTTTGTGAAACTGCTCTGAGTATTGCATAATGTCTGGCATTTCTGGCCCTCACCCACAAAATACCAATAACACACTCCACCCAATCACTGTGACAATGTAAACTACCCCTACTAAATTCCAAAATGCCCCATGGTGGGCACTACCTCCCTTACTAAGCATTGCTGTTCTGAGGAGAAGGAAGTAGCACAATTAGATGTAGCTTAAATTTTATCGTGACAAAAATGGAAAGTTTCAAGGTAGGGATTTTCTAAGTAAATTGCATTTTAAAGGATCACTATGGAGTCCTGGTGCACTGCTATAGGATAAGCAACAATCCAAAAGGTCAGTTTGAACCAAAAGTCAGCAGTTGAAACTCACCAGCCACTCCTCTGAAATCCTATAAAAGTCGCTATGATCATGAACCAACTTGATGGCACTTAACAACAATAACAACCTGACTAGTCACAATTTTGAAGGACCCTATGGGGAAAATATTGAATGACAGAAAAAGCATCACATACAAAAAAGATAGTAGTAGCTGGAGACGCAGGGAGGAATTAAAGAGTTCAAGTGAATAGAAGTAAATTCTGTGAACTGATGGTACTTGGAGGGGACTGCAATCATTGTAATGAAGTAAAGTATATGATGTGTTGAATGTAGAATTGATGGTCTGCTCTATAAACTTTCACTCAATTCACAATAAAAAGTTTCAAAAAATTAAGAAGATGGATGGAATGCATAGGATCACTGTAGCAAACAGAATTGGTAAATGTTCAACCATTTCAGGAGAAATGCTCAAGAACCAATAGTATTCAAGGAAGAAGTCCAAGCTACATTGAAGGCACTGGTAAAAAACATGGCTTCAGGAATTGATGGAATACCAATTGAAATACTTCAACAAATACATGAAGTGCTAGAAGTGCCCACTCATTTATGCCAGGAAATTTGGAAGACAGCTACCTGGTCACCTGACTAGAAAGAATCCATTTTTGTGCCCATTCCAAAGAAAACTGATGCAACAGAATGTGAAAATTATTGAACAACATCATTATCACATACAAGTAAAATTTTGCTGTATGTACATCAACAGGGATCTGCCAGAAATTCAAGCAAGATTTAGAAGAGGATGTGGAATGAGGGATACCATTGCTTATATCAGATAGACCTTGTCTGAAAGCAGAGAATGAATACCAGGAAGAGGTTTATCTGTGTATTATTGGCTACACATAGGCATTCAGCTGTGTGGATCATAACAAATTATGGATTTGAACATTGAAATGAATGGGAATTCCAGAATACTTAATTGTGTTCACGTGGAACCTGTATGTAGACCAAGGGAATAATGCACAAATACTTTAAAATCAAAAACGATGTGCATCAGAGTTGTATCCTTTCACTATACTTATTCAATTTGTATGCTGAGCAAATAATCTGAGAAACTGAACTATATAAAAAAGATTGAATGTGAGGAAGACTCATTAACAATCTGCAAGATGTAAATGACACAATCTTGCTTGCTGATAGCAAAGAGGATTGGAATCATTTACTGATGAAGATCAAGGTAAAAGCCTTCAATATGAATTTACTTCACCATTAAAAAAATGAAAGTTCTCACAACTGGACTAATAAATAACATCATGATAAATGGAGAAAAGCCTGAAGTTATCAAAGATTTCATTTTACATGGGTCTACAATCAACACCCATGTAAGCATCAGTGAAGAAATCAAAAGCATACTGTATCAGGCAGCAAAAGACCTCTTAAAAATATTGAAAAACAAAGATGGAATTTTGAGAACTAAGGTTTGCATGACCCAAGCCACGGTATTTTCAATAACCCCATATGCATTGTGAAATCTGGACAATGAATAAGGCTGTCCATAGAAGAACTGATGCCTCTGAATTATGGTTTTGGCAAAGAATATTCAATATAACATGGACTTCCAGAAGAACAAACAAATCTATCTTAAAAGAATACAACCAGAATGCTCTTAGAAGCAAGGATGATGAGACTTTGTCTTATGTGCTTTGAAATAGAACTGATTCAAGACCACCTAACAACAACAATATCAGGACTGTTGTTGTTAGGTGCCATCGAGTCAGTACCTCACAATTGTTGCCACACTTGATCCCATTGATGCTGCCACTTTGCAAGTCCATCTCACTGGGGGTCTTCCTCTTTTTCTCTACCCTCCACCTTACCAAACATGATATCCTTCTCCAGTGACTGGTCCCTTCTGACAATATGTGCAAAGTATGAGAGACAAAGTTTGGCCATCTTTGCCTCTAAGAAGCACTCTGGCTGCACGTCTTCCAATACAGATCTGTTGGTTCTTTTGGCAGCCCATGGCACTGTCAATATTCTCCTCCAACACCATAACTCAAAAGCATCAATTCTTCTACAATCTTCCTTATTCACTGTCCAACTGTCACTTGCAGGTGGGAGTGAAGACAAGAATGAAAGTTGGGATGTCCACTGGAAAGTAGGTTGCCACAAGAGTGATCTAGGTGTCCAATATTAGGGAAGTGGCTGGGGTAAAGAGCAATAAATGCATCTATACACATTTAAGGGACCGAATTGATCAGACCTATGATTGATTTGGAGACCTGGTGTGGTGCTATGGGTTAATAATGCACTGGACTGCAAAATCAGTTTGAACTGCAAGGTCAGCGGTTCAAGCTCACCAACAGCTCTTTGGAAACCCTATACAGGGTTGCTGTGGGTCAGTTCCAACTCATAGCAGCCCTGTGTAGGGTTTCTAAGGAACCAACATCTTGGTTCAAAGGGCCTTTCAGCCCTGTGCTTATCCTATAGCACCACATGAACGGCTAGTAGTTTCAAACTGCTGACCTTGAGGTTAGCAGCCCGACTCATAACTCTATGCCAGCAGAGTTCCTTACTCAATGAATGGGGCATTCTTTTCAAAAGGCTCAGAAGGTAAGCAGGTTTCAGACATTTTTGACTTACAGCGCCTGTGGGACAGCCAGTTGTTGTTAAGTGCTGTTAGTAGGGTCTGACTCATAGCAACCCCATAAAGCGTTTCCAAGGAGTGGCTGGTGAGTTTGAGCCACCAGCCTTATGGTTCAAACTGTAGTCCAGTGCTTTATCCCACAGCACCACACCAGGATTCCATGGAGACCTAAATTTGTGTGGTGCCCACGGTTGAGATCTTGGCAGGTATATTTGGTAGGGAGCCTCTGAGTTGTACAAATGGTTACTAGCCAAAAGGATGATGGTTCAAACCCATTCAGAGGCTCCTTGGAAGACAAGGTTGGCACTCCCTTCCCAAAAGGTCATTTTCTTCTCAAAAATCTTGAAAGCCTATAGAGCAGTTCTACTCTGGATGAGGTCACCATGAGTTGGAGTTGTTTCCATGACAACTAACACCAGCAACATAGTTTGATAAAGAGGACCATTGTCCATGCGTAATAGAAAACGATAAAACTTGCTGAGGAATTTTATAGACTAAGAGTTCCACAGTAACACTTTGGGATGCATTGTCAAAGTAATCATTTCCTAATTTTTCACAGGCAGTCTACTTAAAAGTCTTTCAAATCTAAGACACTTTTATTAGAAAATGAAAACAAAATAATAGCAGTAAAAATATATAAAGAATTTTGTTACTTTCCTTATCATAAGTCAGTAGATATAAATATTAAGTAAAGACTTAAGTAAATTGAAAAGTCATCAAATCTGCAGTCCACATCAGTTTAAAGGATTGGATTGAGTCTCTTTTGAACAATTATCCTCATAGATCACCAATGTTATTTTTCTGTTGTTAAAACAATCTTGAACATCAGAGAGTTATGATTATACATCTTCTTTTCTCATTATTTCCAAAGCTTGGTCTTATTCCTCAAATCAATTCTTTGGAGAATTTCTGCAGCAAGCAGGACTTAGATGAGTACCAGCTGTATAACTGTGCTGAAATTGCCTCTGAAATGGGACCTCGAGTGCTCCCTGATGTATGTGAGAGACTTATAGTCAGCATGTCTGCCAAGTTACACAATGGGGCCGTGGGTGAGTATCCGTCCTACAGACTACTGAAGCACTGCTGTCTGGACAAATGCTTTTGGGAATGTGAGCAAATCGATTTAATTTATTTTAGCATCCACTGCATACAACCTATTTAAATATCACTCACCCAATGATTAAACACAAAGAACAGTCGTTTGATGCATTGGAATCATAATGCACAGTACAGTAAGCATATAGCATTGGGAAGCTAGGTTGTTGGACCAACAGACCTATAACCACTTTTGTGGAATCTTAGAATCTGGGGAGTGAGGGGCTAGTATGAACTCTGAACAATGTCTTTCATCCAAAAACTATGACTTAATAAATGAGTGAATTTGAATCCAAAGGCTTACCCTGTGCCACGGTAAAGCGCACAGTTTCTTAACCTCAGCGCCATTGAGATTGTTGGCTGGACAATTCTCTGTTCTGGGATGGGGATTTGTCTTGTGCATTGTAAACTGTTTATCGTCCATGCCTCTCTCCACTTGATACAAGCTGAATCCCTCCCTATCAGTTATATCATATGGAGGAAAACCACACCTCCCACCCCATTTAAGAATCAATACTATAGGGTGACAGACAAAATAAGAGGTTGGATTTCCTGAGTTTTAGACAAATACTTTTTTTATTGCTGGTTTTCTATTTCGGTATTAAAATAGGTGCTCATAAATTTATGAAAGATGTGGAATAGAAGAAATTAAAAACTGATGGTTGTTGTTGTTAGGTGTCATTGAGTAGGTTCTGACTCATAGTGTGACAGTGTAGGATAAGCACTGGACTGTTAACCACAAGGTTGGCAGTTCAAACTCACCAACCCCTCCTCAGAAACCCTATATAGAGTAGCTATGAGTCAGAACTGATTCGACGGCACTAACAGCAACATGGGGTTTCCAAGGTTGCAAATCTTTGAGGAAGCAGAATCTTAATCTTTCTCCGTGGAGTGGTTAGTGGACTCAAGCTGCTGGCCTTATGATTCATAGTCCAGTGCTTATCCCACAGTGCCACCACCCTCCCCCCAAATGGTCAGAACTGGAACCCTGGTATATTACTGGTGGCACTGTATAATTGTGCAGCCACTGTGGAAAACGATTTGGCAGTTCCTCGAAAAGGTAAGTATAGAATTACCACATGACCCAGCCATTCTACTTACAGGTATATACACAAACGTCTCAAAAGCAGGGACTCGAACTTGCATACTATGCTTCTTGCAGCATTATTCATGATAGCAAAAAGGTGGAAACAACTTATGTCTATCAACAATGGATAAATAAATTGTGGTATACCCATACAGAGGAATATTATTCAGACACAAAGAGAAACGAAGCTTCAATACCATGACAACATAGAGGAACCTTGAAAACATTATGCTGAATAAAGTAAAGAGACACAAAAGGACAATTATTGTATAATCCCACACATGTGAAATACCCAGAATAGGCAGATGCATAGAAAAAAGTGCATTAGTGGTAACCAGGAACTAGAAAGAGGGAGGAGGAGTTCTTGCTTAGGGATGCTGAATTTTTGTTCAAGGTAACGAAAACCATTTGAAAATAAATAGTAGTGATGGTTGTCTAATATGGTGAATATAATTAATGTCACCAAATTGTACACTTAACAATGGTTCAAATGGCCAATGTTTCATTATATATATTTTACCACAACTTAAAAAGAAATGTATCCACACTCTAGCATGGCAGGCTCCAATGTAGAAGATCGGGAATTGATACCATAATAAAGCTGATAGTAATCATTATATTAAGATCATTTATTTCAGCCTTTCATTAACTTTTAAAGTAAACTTTATTGGCTACTTAACTATGAGCCAAGCGTTGTTCTAAGTACTTTGTTCATTTAATCCTTACTACAGTTCCAAGGAGCTCTGGTAGTGTAGTGGTTACGAATTGGGCTGCGAACCTTAAGGTCAGCAGTTTGAAACTACCAGCTGCACCTCGGGAGAAAGATGAGGCTTTCTACTCCCGTAAAGATTTACACCCTCGGAAACCCTATACAGGGTCGCTATGGGTCGGAACTGACTCGATGGCACATAACAACAACAACAACACAGTGCCATGAGGCAATCTTACTCTTATTAGCTCCATTTAACAGATAAGGAAACTTAACAACGAGAGTGGTACCAAATAAAAGAGAGGTAAACTGAAGCCACAAACAGGCCAAGGCACTCTCTCCCACTTCCTTCACCTTTAACTGCTTTTTTTCCCTGCAGCTTGCAAGTGTCATCCTCAGGGTTCCATGGGGGCCAGCTGCAGCCCACTGGGAGGCCAGTGCCAATGTAGACCTGCTGTGGAGGGGCGCTGCTGTGACAGGTGCTCTGCAGGAAGTTACGGCCTGGACCATCATGGATGTCACTGTACGTAGCAAAGAACAAATGGCGGGAAAACATGCCCGAGGAATGTGAAGGCATGTTCACATGGTCACACAGACCAAGCTCTGTGTGGAGTTTGAAAGAGGAGGGCCTATGGAAATGTGGCTGCGTGGTTCAGACTGTCTATGTAGATAAAATGTAATCGAAAATGTTCTGTTATACTTTAGTCATCCTTTCAATAGGTACCAACAAGTGCAGATACCATGAGTGATGAACAAGACACGGTCTTGTTCCTTCTGGAAATTTAGTCAGTTTAGGATGGATTGTAGTAAGGAGCCCCTGGGTGATGGAAACCACAACATGCTCAACTACTTAAGTGAAAGACTGAAAACTTGAGTCCACCCAAAGTGCTTTAGAAGAAAGACTTGGTGATCTATTTGTGGAAGATGGAGCACTGAAACCCCTCTAGAGCACAGTTCTACTCAGGGGTTGCTGAGTAAAGCCATGAGGCTTTACACCTGGACAAAGCATTTATCTGATCAGTACAATGTGAAAGCACAATGAGGGAAGTTGAATGTTCAAGCCCAGCCTGATTATCTGCAATGCAAGTTCTGTGACTGAAAAGGCTAAAACCAGGATAAGATTGGGAAGCAGAAAAAGAGGATAGCATTGTTACCAAAAGTCAGACCTCCCTTCATGCTGGGGTGGTGCACAGATTGGAGCTTATTTTATCAGCTATCCATTGATAAGGATGGAGTTGGAGCTTCACTCAGAGTTGATAATTTAGGCCTCATGACTGTCGTGTCATCTGGTTCCCTCTGCAGTTACCTCGGGAACCATGAAAGTCTCCAGATGGTTTGATTCTTCTTTCAGGGGTGGTCAGCGAGATGGCACACTTTGCTGGTCATTTCCTGAGTGTGGCTGCCTACCTTACCCTGTGCTTAGGTCCATCATTTGTTTTTTCTTTAAATCTATGTATATATATTATGAAGTATTTGAGTATACAAAGGGTTATACACAAAAGAACAAACATTTCTTTTGTGTACAACCCTGTCAGACAAACAGGCAGTCCATAGGATTCAACAATTTACCAGAAAAGCATCAATCAATTGCTATCTTATCTAGAAAAAAGAAAACTCTGACCATCTTGAGAGGGGTTCTTATATAAATATTTGTTTGGATCTGAAGGTTTGAACCCTACAATAAATGGAAGTTATTCCTGTGATCCTTCTGTATGAACAACTAAAGTGTGTAAGACCCAATTGTTCGCCAGGTGCTGTCCTAGAGGGGTTTATTGATCAGATTAACGAGTTGTTATAGAGCAAACATTTATCTGGTGCTTATTATATGCCACTCATTGATCTAAGCCCTTTCCTTGCTTGCTTTATTCACTTGAAGATGATACAGAAAGTTAAAAACCAGAATCCAGTTGCTGTGGACTTGATTCCACCTCATGGCAACCCTATGTGTGTCAGTGTAGAGTTGTGCTCCACAGCATTTTCAGTGGCTAGTTTTTGGAAGTAGACTACCTAATCTTTCTTTAGAAGTGCTTCTTTGATATTGTTTTTAATAGACTTCAAATCGGTTCCAACTCACAGTGACCCCTTATAGAGTTTCCAAAGAGCAGCTGGTGAGTTTTTACTGCCAACCTGGAGATTTAAACTGACCTTGCAGTCCAGTGCTTATCTTATAGCACCACACCAGGACTCCTCAAATCTCCAAACTTTCCATTATAAGCCTAATACAGCGTTAGTAATTTGTATCATCCAGGGAATGCAAAATTCAGAACTGTAACACTTCCATCCACATGACACTCACTCCACTCCCACCCCTAAGAAGACTTCTCTTTACCTTATCCAGCATGTGACTGCCACCCTCAAGGCTCAAAGAACTCTCTATGTGACCAAATCACTGGACAATGCTCCTGCCACAGAGCGATGGCAGGCCCCCGCTGTGACCAATGCATGGCTGGCTATTTTGGATTTCCCAACTGCCGTCCTTGCCCTTGTAATGGATTTGCTGAGCTTTGTGACCCACAGACAGGGTCATGCTTCAATTGCAGAGACTTTACAACTGGACAAAACTGTGAAAGGTATGGAATCGACATGAAAGTGATTTTTTTCTTCTTCTTCTATTCTGATCCCTTAACATTCTCTGGAAGACTATGGAGTGGAGACTCAACAGTATTTAAGTGTGAAATGATTGTTACAGGGTGGGGGAAGGTAGAATATCATTCCACCATCCTTCAAAATCATTTTATGAGCCAGACAATATTTGATTAAATCAATAACACTTTGCTTTTTATGTTCCTGAAATGTCATATATAAATCAAGTACTATAATATTGAGTTCAATGACTATATCTGGGGGATTTCGCTGTAAAACAGAATATGCTTTTATAGGACATATGATCATCTCCTAAAATACTGAGTTTTATAAGTCATACCACCCTACAACATAACAAGTATGCATTGGCTAGTTAATATGTGAGCTTATCTTGGGAACATTTTAGAAAAGGGAAATTGTCTTGACAGGTGCATCGATGGTTACCATGGAAACCCTTCTTCAGGACAACCCTGTCATCCTTGCCTGTGTCCAGATGCTCCCTCAAGCAATCAGTATTTTGCGCAGTCCTGTTATCAGAATCCTTGGAGCCCAGATGTAATCTGTAACTGTCTTCCTGGTTATACAGGTATACAGCATACTGCATCTTGATTTTTTCTTTGATCCCACCCTGCTATCAAAGAAATGCTGATGTGTTCATACTGCATATGTCTTGGACAAATGAGTGAATAGCAAGAAGATACAACTTGATAAATTCCTACATTACTAGACAAAGAATTGAATGATTCAAAAACCAATGACTAGGTTAAAAACTCATTCCACTGAGCTGTAATTATGTCTCAATAATGTTCTGGCAAACCAAGTAACCAAATAAGATCTAATTAATCTATTATTATTTTAATTATGCATTATCTTATTAACCTAGTACTTGTGCATCCGTTTCATTAGTATTAATGTGGTTCAGTCAAGCTCACCAGCTGTGCCTTCGAAACCCTAGACAAGGTCACTATGGATTGGAACCAACTCAAAAGACACTTAACAACAACAATACAATAGAAACAATTTTAAAGTAAAAAATTTAATCAGTAAGTGAAATGGTTTTTTTGTGACATAGAACCAAACAATCAGTTTGACTGATATTGTAAAGGTTTCATTGATTTTTTTGAGATGCCTTGAACCAGTGTTTTAGGCCTACTTCTGACCCTGTGTGTTTGGTATTTTGGCCTTGGGTTGCAGAAATGGTCACCTTCTGAGCATGGAACCAGTAGGTTGGAAATTCAAAGTCACTCAGATGTGACCCACAACTGGGCTCCTCTAGGCAATTGTTTCCACACGGTCCTAATCATGAAAATCCTACGTAGTGCAGTTCTACTCTGAACTTATGGGATTGCTGTGAGTTGACTTGATAACAACTGCTTTTTGGTGTTGGTCTGTTATAAATCTTAATTCAGAATTGGTGTCTGCCACTCAATCAAAAATCTTGTTTTGAAGAGTTTCAACCAAAATGTGACTGTATAGTGCAAACAAGAACATCTTATGAGGTCTATTTGATTGAATCATCCTTTGAAAAAATGACATTGTTTTCTTCAGCAGCAATTACCATCATGATAAGAAATTACATGGCTTTTCGTTTTCTTATTTGTTGCTACTAAGGCTCTGCGTATCTCAATTTAATTCTATCTTTCTCCATATACGGTTTGGCTTGGTTGGTTACTTTTTAGGAACTGAGTCTATATTTGTGGTGACGAGCATTGTGGATTTATGACAAGAATTTAGGATTAACTAAAATATAGTGAGTGCCACTGTCTGAGTACCTAAACACTGCATTGCCTACAGGTTGAAAAGACAAAGGGAACTGAACATGAGGAGTGGTTTCTCAACCCAGTCCTTGATAAAAACACCCTAAGATGTTCTTACATCAAGTAAGCAGCATTCCGCTCAGCATGCAGGTTACTGCCATTTAGTTTTCTTCTGCAAGGCTGCTTCATGATGTTCACTTCAGCATGCTTCTCTTCTAGGACCAGGCGAGGGTTGGCAAGCAGCAGGGAGAACAGGTATTGAGACTAGCTTTGGGCCAGAGTACACTGGAGTGAATCTGGTTATATAAGGACCCAGAAATTGTATAACCAAGCTCCATAGTTTTTGGAGAAAGACTGGAATCCATTCTTCATCAAGGCCTTTTTAGCTCTGAAGAATCTTTTTATTCTCTGAAGGAGTAATAAATAGAAATGAATGTTTTGTTTTAATTTAGAAGAATTTTCCTTATTCATCCCAAATGTGTGCTTTCTTGTCATGCCTAGAGGAGCCCAATTATTCTCTATTTATAACCACATCCCCACCCCTACAGCCCAGTCCACCCTCCACAACACATTTCCTCTCATCCCATACCTTTCTAAACCCCTTCCTCTTATAGGTCTTCAGTGTGGAGAATGCTCTGCAGGCTTCTATGGAAATCCGAGAATTTCAGGAGCAGCTTGCCGGCCATGTGCCTGCAATAACAACATCGATGTAACCGACCCAGAGGCCTGCAATCGGGCCACAGGGGAGTGCCTGAGATGTCTGCACAACACTCAAGGCCCCAGCTGCGAACTCTGCAAACCAGGTCACTTCGGATCAGCCCTCAATCAGACCTGCAAGAGTAAGTCTACAAGGCTCCCAGTAGGAAGTGTAATTGAGCAGCAGATTGAAGGGCTGGTATCAGTTCCCCAGGCTCACTTCAGTTCATCCAGTCCCAGCAAGCAAATATAGCATCCATTGGGCAATAAGGGCCACTGCATAGAACTGTGTAGCAGAAACGCTGGGTGAAATGCGACACCCCTAGGCATTTTCTGATGCAGCCTCAATGCACTCACTGGCTTTGTTAGTTTGCTTTTTGTGTTTTTACCTTTAACACTTGTCCTGGTGGGTTTGGAACATTGTTTCTCTGAGAATGGACCAGGGTACACCTGTGTCAGAGTCACCTGGGCACCGGTAATGGGGGGTATTTACATGCAGATTCCTGACAGTGCTTCTGACTCCTGTATCTGAAATCTCTTGAGACATGGGCCCAGGGATATGCATTGTAACAAGCTAATCAAATGACTTTAATGTAAAATGCAAGAATCATTGGTTTAGAAGACAAGGATCTCAGTCGCTGGTACAGAAAGGGAATAAACTGCATGTTTTTTTAGAGACCTCTTAAGTACTTCAATTCATACAAGTCAATTTAGTACATCATGTTTTCCAGAACATTTAAATAAGTGGAGCCTTGGTGTATGGACAAAGAGTGAGCAGTGGGGTGATCCTACCTTCTAGCCCTTGGAACTTATAGGCTGAACAATATGAAATCAAAAACATTTGAATGGGTTCAACCAACCCACTTAGATTCATCAATCCTGTACTAGTATATTATATCGGGAATCTCTGGTTAACTGCTCACTAACCAACCAAAAGGGTGGCGATTTGAATCTACTTACAAGTGCCTCAAAAGACAGATCTGCCGATCTGTTTCTGATCAGTCACAGCCTTGAAAACCCTATTGAACATGGTTCTATTCTGCACTTGTGGGAACACCATAAATCAGAACCAACTGAACGGCAGGTAGAGAAATTATATGGGCAATTCTAAAAAGTTGTTTGTATGGTTTGTTAAATGCTGGTATTATTTTTTATTTTTGCCTCTGACAACTGCTTTATGACCCCAGGCTGCTCCTGCAACCCTTCTGGTGTGAATCCCACTGAATGTCCCTCTGGTCAGGGGCCCTGTGTCTGTGACCCCACCACTGGCTCATGCTCATGTCTACCGAATGTTGCTGGTCGGGCCTGTGACCGCTGCGCTGATGGATATTGGAATCTGGTCCCTGGCAGAGGATGTCAGTTATGCAACTGTGACCCCCATACTTCTCAAAGTAGCCACTGTGACCAGGCAAGTTACTTAAAACTTACTAGGGTGCTCAGTCTAAGAATTGATGGTGAGATGTAATTCAAACTATGTAAAGAACAATGTCTTTACCGCTGTTAACTAGTGTTTTAGACAGGGTCTGCCTTACCCAGGGATACAGCTGGCATGTATTAAGGAGTCAAACACAGCAGAAAAAAGAGAATGAGGGTCTCAGTGTTAAACTTTGCCTGCCTCCATTTTCTCTAGGTCCCTCTGTGACTGGGGAAATCAGAATTCATATACAGAAAAGCACAGATGAACTTCACTTTCATTATTTATACACATAACCACAGGAAGACCATGAACTTGATTGCTAATTAGAACTACTAATCAGATGAAAATAAACCGGTGTCTTCAGAACCCCTATTCCATTTTCAATTACCTGTTGCTTTCCCCAAGGTTAAGTTACACTATGAGACCAGCACCCATGGTTCTAAAGAAGGAAACTGATGGCAAATCCACATTGTTTAATATACACCTAGTGCAAATTGACTGCACATGTGATTCTCTGGCAAAAGACGACGTGCACAGAACTTATACAAAGAATATTACATTTTTTTCATGGAAAAGGCTATTTGTTAATGCCATTGTATTTGTTCGTTTGGGGCTTAATGAATATATTCTTTGAAAGTCTTTTCATGTTAGTAGAGACTCAGGGGACAAAGATAATATAAAAAAACATGACAAGACATTTTAGGGAGAGTAAAATTTACAGTATAGGGGTTAGGTCTAATTAGGATTTAAGAAGTCAGAGTTATTCCAAGTCATGAGCAGTACTCAATTCTTATTTCTGCTCCATGTTCAACTTCTTATTCAGAGTTCAAATCTTAGCTAAACTTCTGAAGGCCATTCTTATACCTCTTTTAATCCTTCCTCTCTTCCCCTCCCCTGTTACACATGCCCATCATCCATTTTTTAAAAATAATAAACTCTTTTATTTTAAAATAGATTCTGATGTACAGGAAAGTTAATGAAAATAACACCAAGTTCCCATGTGCCACATACATAGTCCCCACTATTAAGTGTGGTGTATTTGATACTTTTCATGAACCAGTAGTGATACTATATTACTAACTATACTCCATAGTCCATTCAGATTTCCTTAGCTTTGTGCCTAATGTCCTTTTTCTGGTCCAGGGTCCCATTCAAGATCCCACATTACATCTCATTGCCATACCTCCTTGGGCTCCTCTAGGCTGTGACAGTCTCTCAGACTTCCTTTGGTTTGATGGCTTTCACAATTTTGAGGAGTAATAGTCAAAAAGTCCTGGTGTGGCACTGTAGACTAGGTACCAGACCCCAAGGTTGTTTGAATTGCAAGGTCAGCAGTTCAAACTCAATAGCCACTCCTCAGGGCTGCTCTCAGTTGGAACCGACTTGAAAGCACTTAACAACAACAACAACAGTCAAAGATTTATAAAATACCCCTCAACTGGGACTAGTCTGGTGCTTTTCTCATGGCTAAACCGGTATAAAGGAGCTCTGGTAGCGTAGTGGTTACAAATCGGGCTGTGAACCTCAAGGTCAGCAGTTCGAAACTACCAGCCATTCCGTGGGAGAAAGATGAGGCTTTCTGCTCCCGTAAAGATGTACAGCCTCAGAAACCCTGTTCAGGGTCACTATGGGTCGGAACCTACTCCACGACACATAACCAACCACCAAACTGGTATAATGTGTCTTTGGGAGTAAGACTATAGCAGTAAAGTGTCGTTTTCATGATATCATATCAAGGGTACATACTGTCATCGTGGCATCACTGTTGATGCTGATGTTGATCACATGGCTGAAGTAGCATTTGACAGGTTTCTCCACTGTGCAGGTGCTCTTCTCTCCCCCTCTTTGCATACTGTGCTATTTGGAAGATCATCCCTATGTGTAAACCACACTCAAGTAGTGAAGATTTAAGCTCTACCTCCTTGAAGGTAGAATATCTTACATAATTTATTTGAAATTCTCCTGGATGGGAGGTTTTTCTCTTTTCCCCCTTGTTATTTATTTAGTCAATCTTTTATTTTATCAGTGTGAAATGTAAATTCATTATATGCTTTGGGTTATAAAGGATCCCTGGTAGTGCAGTGTGTTAAGCATTGGACTGCTAATCATAAAGTTGATGGTTCAAACACATCAGCAATTCAATGGGAGAGAAATGAGACTGTCTAATCACTTAGATTTACAAGCTCAGAAACCCTAAGGAGCAGATCTACTCTGTCCTATGATGTTGCTATGAGTTGGAATCAACTTAATGGCATTAGGTTTGGTTTTAGTGGGTTCTGGGAGTTATAATCCAGTTATAGTCCAGCAAACTTTACTTTGTTGCTCAAATTATTCCCAGTCTTGGCCAATTGTTGTTAAGTGGCGTCGAATTTGTCTTGACTCATAGCTACCCTGTAGGGTTTCTAAGGAATGGCTGGTGGGTTTGGACTGCTGACCTTGTAGTTAATAGTCCAGTGCTTATCCTACAGTGCTAAACTACTACTCCAGCTTTGGCAAGGGAGTGCTTTAACTTGGCTCCTTGACATATTCCCATTATTGTGGGCATTTTTGTTTTTGTCTTTAGACCCTTTTTTTCTTACTTTCTGGCACTACAAAATACCCCCAACAGGTCTTGTATATGTCCTGACCCAGTCCTAGAATCAACCATATCTTCAAGGGACTATGATACCGCTGACTGAAGAATGGCATTAGAAACCAAGTTCTTGGTGACCATGAATTTTTTATATGCTCCCTCCCCCTCACCTCACCTACAGCCGGCAACCATGGAACAACATGCCAGATCTGAATGTGGCTGCTCGTCTTTCTAATTTACAAGGGATTCCTAATGTTTATGATGGCCATATCTGGCATGCTTCTTAGAACTTTTGGAAAGCATGATTCTAGCAAGCAATCAATGAAGATCCTAGTTCAGTCATGGAGGACTGAAAATCAGATTGTTGTTATTATTAAGTGTCATCCAATTGGTTCTGACTCATAGTGACCCTGTATAGGGTTTCCGAGGAGTGGCTGGTGAGCTTGAACAGCTGACCTTGAGGTTCAAACCAACTTTGCAGTCTAGCGCATTAACCCACAGCACCACATCAGGACTCCAAAAATTTGGTAGCAGTGGTTTAATGAAAGTAGCCACTTTGGGTTGCCTGGCCCAGAGTGGACTCCTTGGTCGGGAAACACTTTCGTTGGACACTGAACTTCCCAGTAATTGAAACAACCACTGACAAATGCCTTTGTGTCAGCCAGGAGATGGGCTCTAGTGCATTTCCACAGAGACATGCAAACATGCTGTCTGATACTTTCATCAACAGTTTAGATGGAGTTAGAAAAACAGGCTTATCAGATTTACAGATACTGCAAAGTTGTAAGCTAATATAATAAAGAAAGAATAAGATTCAAAATATCCCAAAAGGCTGATAATGTAGACTGGAAGCAAGAAGATGAAATGTTAACAGGGGAAAAGTAAAGTTTTGCAATTGGGGTTTAGAAATTCATTGCATAAGCGCAGGGTGGGAGTAATGACTTGGCACTGCCTCATGTGAAAACATCAGGATTTTGGCTGTGCACAGGCTTTCCATGAGCCAGTATTATGGCAGGGCTGCCAACGGGGTGATGGCAGTTCAGGCTGAAGTAGGGTCAGTGCCCTGCTCATGTTCAAGGGAGTCATTGTCCACCGTCTGTTCTACTGGCCGGATGCTCCAGTGTTGTCATTTCTGAATGCCATATTGATAGCACTGACAATATATTGACAAACTAGTGTGTGTCCAAAGAAGACAGCCAGGAACCATGGTCAGAACTATGATGAAGGTTTGAAGGAATTAGGGGTGGTTGGTCTGTAGGTGAGGAACAAAGACGAATTGAGATGGCTGTCTCCAACTGGGATAAGGACTGTGAGGACAAAGATAGGGGCTGTGTGTTTTGTGCAACTCTGTAAGGCAGGACTGGGCAATGAGAACAAGTTCCAAACAGTAAAGTTCTGTATCAGTATAAGAAAGAATTGCCCAATAGTCAGGGGCAGACGGCTCTCCATAACTCCCTAGATGTGAGCAAAAGGCGGTCTAACGGGAGCTCCCAAGATGGTTTGAAGCTTGGTAGATCCAAGCAGTTGCTATCTAAGTTACTTATTCATGTGAAGCATAATTTATGAAGTCGTTTAGGCAAGTTTGATCCTGTATAATTTAGAATTAAAATATTTACTTCAAATTTTCCTTCTGGTTTACAGAAAAGCTGGTCATGAAACCCAGTTGGGAGAGTGAAGGGAAAGTTCAGGTCTTTCCCTGAATTGTAGTTTAATAACTCACATTAAATAACGAAGCCTCAAGGACACAGACTCAAAAATGCCATTTTGTCAAACAACGTAAACCCACTGAACTAGTCAGTTGGTAAAAACTACATCCTACATTCCATATTTGGATAAATTAATTGTAAAATTAATTGCCGAATGTGAGACCAGGCCTCTGGCCTTTCTCCCTTATGGGAGAACTCCCATAACTGTAGAGGAAAAGAATGTGGCCCGTTTCCCATTATGTGTTTTGTTTTCATTTATATCTGTGTATTTTTCCCAATTTGGGGCCACCTGTCCTTGAACAGCTGGAAGCAGGCGGTATATTCATGAGCCCTAAGCCAAAACACACTAACTCATGAGCCGTGGTGTTGTTGGGGGTGGTTGCTGGCCGTGGGAATCATTTCTCCTCTGCTTTTGCACAGCTGTATGTTCTAAATCACTGGAGGGGAAAATGTTTCCTATTAAAATGTATTGTTTTTTTAGATCATAAAGCCTGTCCATTCCTCACCCATGACTGTTCTTATGTTCTTACAGTTTACAGGCCAGTGTCCGTGTAAATTAGGCTATGGTGGGAAACAGTGTAATGAGTGCAAAGAAAATCATTATGGCAGCCCACCAGGACCATGCATCCGTAAGTACTGGTCATTGGAAAACTGCCCGAGTACAGCCAGCATGGCTTTGCCAAGGGTATGCTTCAAGCCAATTTAATTTTAAATATTTTTATTCAAGACTTCGTTTGAAAATTTGGTCTATGTTTTGACAATAGTACATGTGCAGTTCTGTAAAAGAGATTATTTTGGCCTTTGTTAAAATTTGTAGCTGATATTAAAATTTTTAGATAACATTAAAATTTCTCAAAGCCATCACAATGGAGCGGACTTCTGAGGTCATGACTTGTTGGCAATTTTCTGCAATTTGAAAGCAAATTGAGAAAAAGGACTATTTGGGATTAAGATACAGACTGGTCGTTGGATTATAGGAAGCCAGTAGAGGGGATATTTCCTCACAGTGGCTCTCATGTGTTCATTTATTCCTTTAACAAAGCTTCATAAAGTACCTACTGGGTGCTCTAGGTAAATAAGTAAGGCAAGGCCTTGTCCTCATGGAATTTGAGTTACGGTGTCTTCATTCCACATACTAGCATTGGTTTATAAGAGTGAGAGCAGTGCCGGCCCATAGAATTTTCTGTGATGATGGGAATGTCTCACATCTGCATTGTCCAGTGTGGCAGCTATTCGCCTGTGTGGCTACTGAGCACTTGAAATGTGGCAGTAGAACTGAGGAAATAATTTTTCTATTTGATTTTTATTAGTTTAACTTGAAATAGTCACAAGTGGCTACCATGACTACTATACTGAACAGCTCTAATTTAGAGTCTGTGTTGGTTCCAGGAGTTAGGATTTTTTAATGGACATTTAAAACAACTTCCAAAGAAGTCAACCCAAAAAGTGATGGTCTTTGACTACCATCCATTCTTGTCTAATTATCTCTGTGGCTAGAAACATCACCATCGTTTTTTGTGTCATTCAGATACATATTCTCAATGATTTCTCCCTGAGTCAGTTCTCTATTATAAATATCAGGGAAGAAATTTGGTTCTCAGAAAAATGTATCTTAGAGAACCACTTCCCCTGTGTCCAGTGAACATTTTAATAAGACTATTTCACAAAAATTGCAAATGGTCAACTCATGCCACGGACCCCACAAAAGCTCCCAGGGAAGAGAGGCTAATGAGGGGTAACCTGACCTCCATCTGGTGGGATGACATAATACCATCCCCACGGGGTTTCTGTGAGGCTTCTAGACCAAAACTGAATGTGCCAGACAGATGGTACCTGGCTGGGGAACCTAGTGCACTGATCCATTTTTATCTGTAATTGACATCACTTTTTACTCAAGCTGTCAAATGCATTTTTAAGCCATTTGTTCCCTACAATCAGTCCAAGGAACTAGGCCAATGATTCACTAACCTTCTAGAAATTGCTATAATGTCAAATACTCATCCTTCATTCTCAGGCTTAGTCAGAAATCTAGTTGATTAAAAGTTGTGTGGCATCAGTTATTATTATTATTAAGACAAAATGAATTTGAATGTTACCTCGTGATTTGAGAATAGACTGTTTCTCCTTAAAATAAGGAAGACAGCATAAGCCAACACACCCAGGATGGATTTTACTAAGAAAACTGTGGTCATGGGAATTCTTAGAGTCTGTGATATGCCTAAGTCACTCCACAAGGCTGTAGCAGCAGCTACTAGTATACGATCCATCCTTAGATCCATGTTTCTCACTGGGATAGGTGAAGAGCCCACAAGTGCACACTCACACACACAATGACAATAATACATATATTTTCCATAAACAAGCCATGGATTGATTCATTCATAGAATGAATGGCCTTTGTACAGATCCCTACAAGTATGCTAGTTTAAATTGTTGACTCCTTTCCAAGTTAGAAGACTCCTTACGTGATGATGGGCAAGGAAGAGCAGCAGAAAATGTCAATTCACAAATCAAAACGAGTAGACTCATAGTTCAGAAGATGTACTAAGTAAAATAGGAGTCTTGGTATGGCATTGCAGGATAATACACTGGACTGCAAGCTTGGTCTGTACCACAGGGTCTGCGGTTCGAACCCACCAGCTGCTCCTCAGAAACCCCAGACAGGGTCAGCTATGAGTTGGAACTAAACAACTTGATGATATAATTAAGACAGTACTTTGTTGTGGGATGCGGAGCAACCCTCTCCCTAGTTGTGATAATCAAAAATGTCTCCAGGTATGCCCAAATGTCCCCAGGGCTTGGAAATTACACCCAGTTGAGAACCACTGATTTAGAGGACCATAGAAATTATAGCACGGAGGTTATGTGGCACATCAAAACCCACCAGCTCCAAACATACTAGGAGTGTGGATGTTCATTTAGAAGAGATTGCCATTTGTGAGAGAAGATTTCTAATTAGCTAAATTGTTATGAGTATGAGAAAACTGGAGAAAAGAAAAGGTCAATGTGAAAGTTCTCCACAGTATTCAATGAAAATGTCCTCATAATTTTCTACCCATTTAATCTGCACTTGAGCTCAAAATGTTTTTCTGTCCATGGAAAAAAAGAAATTAGACACCAGCACTCAAGTTCACTGGTGTGATGTTATAGGGTCAGCAATATACTTCTAACAACAAGGTCAACAGTTCAAACCCACCAACTGCTCCTTGGAAACCCTATACAGGGTCATTATGAGTCAGAACTAACTCGACAGCACTTAACAACAACCCAAGTTCACTAATAACTCTGAAAAATAGTTTTTTTAAAAAATTGATAAATAAATAAAATAGTCACCCTACAAGTGTGAGTTGGAGGGGTTCTTAGACAAGAGGAGATGATTTTGTTCCTGAGTTAGTCAGAAACAAAATAACCACGTGACATTCTCTGTCCCTCCTCTCTTCCTATACAGCATGTGACTGCAACAGGGAAGGTACCCAGATGCCCTCCTGTGACCGGGACACGGGGATGTGCCGCTGCCGGCAGGGCATTGGTGGCCAACGATGTGATCGCTGTGTCCGGGGTCATGGCCAGGAATTCCCTGCTTGTCTTCGCTGTCATTTGTGCTTTGATCAATGGGACCACACCATCTCTTCCCTCTCCAAATCTGTGCAAGGGTTAATGAGGCTGACTGTTAACATAGAAGATAAAAGAGGGATCCTGCCAATGTGTGAGGACAACATCAAAGGTCTCAGAGAGAACACGTCGGAAATACAAAGGATTTTGAAACATTCTGTTTTCTCATCTGGGGAATTCTTAAGAGTCAAGGATTATCAGGACTCTGTTTGGTAAGATTTATACTCACATAGCAGGTAGGTGGTTTACTTTCATGCCTGCTAAGCTTTAACATCCTGTCTTCAATTTAGAAATGAGCCTACATTGTCAAGAGGGGATTGTCCGTTACTCAGCTAAGAACCAGGCTGATTATCTTGCTTACCTGTCCCTTTCTTACCTAGTTAGGATTGCATGTGATTTTTCCAGGTGCCACCACTTACAACACTGCGCCATGGTGTAGCCTGTAGGATAAACACTAGACTGCAAGGTTGGACTGAACCTCAAGGTCGGTGATTCAAACGCACCAGCCACTCCTATACAAGGTCACTATGAGTTGTAACAGACTCAACAGTGCTTAACAAGAGCAACACTATTTATAACAAAACGGAAAAATGCTGTGGAGTTGGTTCCAACTCATAGCGACCCTGCTTAGGGTTTCCGAGGCTGTAAATCTTTATGGGAGCAGAAAGTCTCAGCTTTCTCCCACAGAACAGCTGGTAGTTTCTAACGGCTGACCTTGAGGTTAGCAGCCCGACTTGTAACCACTACACTACCAGAGCTCCATTAATAACAAAAAGGGAATCATTAAAATGTTGATGAAGGAACCCAAGCCCAGTATAACTGAACAATATGAAATTAGAAGTACAAGTATGGTAGTTTTTAATACAGATGGTTTTCAACCATGAATTTAAATAACTTACTAAATCTTCCCAAATTCTTCCACTGTTTAGGAGAAACAATGGAAAATTTTTTTACCTACATTAATATGACATCCTATAACAAGTATAATAATAATTCCTTCAAAATTTAAGATTCTTTAAAATACATTTTATTGAATTTATTATTATTCATCAAACTTTTCTTGAGATTAGGTTGGTTGCTATAGTAAGCAAAACACAATTTGCAAGCCAAATCCAACCATCCACCATTTTTTTTTGAAACTTTTTATTGTGCATTGAATGAAGGTTTATAGACAAGATCATCAGTTTTACATTCAACAAATCATACATACACTTTGTTTCATCTCAATGATTGCAATCCCCTCCATGCAACAATAGTTCTCCTGCTTCCTCCCTGTGGTTCCTGTTTCCATTCTACCCTCCTTCCCAGACCCTTTGATCTTGTTGTCCTTGTTAAGTGTCATGGAACAGATTCTGACTCATAGCAACCCTGTATAGGATTTCTGAGGCTTTAAATTGTCAAGGGAGCAGAAAACCTCATCTTTCTCCCACACAGCAGCTGGAGGGTTCGAACCACAGACCTTATGACTTGCAGTCCAGTGCTTATCATATGGAGCCACTGTGCTTACCTTGTCCCCAGGTATATGTTACCCTTTTGATCTCGAATGGTAGTAGGCATGCCTCACTAGTGTTGTCCCCCACCTATATACCTATCTACCACTTGGTAGAAAATTGGGCCACGGAGGCCTGCAGGGTGGCCAAGCCGAGGGTCATAGTCTCACGTTTCTCCAGTCTCTTTCTGACCAGTAAGCTTGGTGCTTTTTTAATAACTTTGAGTTTTGTTCCACACTGTCTCCCATTGTATCCAGAACCTTCCATTGTGAGCCTTTTCAGAGCAGTTGGTAGTGATAGTTTTTCTGGTCTCAGAACTACACACCACCCAGTTTTATAAATAAAGTTTCACTGGAACACACCACACCCACTGATGTATACTCTAGAGCTGCTTCCACCTAAAAAGGCAGAGTAGCTTAGCTGCAACAGAGATACTCCAGCCCCAAAGTGTAAAATGTTTACTACCTGGCCAGTTACAGAAAAAGTTTGCCGACCTGCTCTGGGCCAAACCAAGGTGAACCGGGTATCCTTCCCACTCTCATAGGAGCATACAGTCTAGTAAGAAACCACAAAACTGTGATTGCATACCAAACAATAATACTAACTAAGCAATAGTTCCAAGTCATGGTGACCTATGGGTTTCAAAGTAGAACTGTGCACTGTAGGATTTCCAGTGACAGTGAGTGACCTTTTGGAAGGAGATAGCCAGGTCTTTCTTCCAAGGCATCTCTGAGTGAATTTAAACAGCCAATCTTTTTTTTAGTTAACATCCAAGCACTTAACTGTTTGTGCCACTCAGGGAGTCCATATTGCAAAGTATTCCCTGTCTTCCAAAAAAGTCCTGTATTATGGGAAGCTGAAATCATACATTTCATATGTAATACAAATATAAATATAAGGTCATTCATTATCAATAGCCAATTATCCCTGACCTATAGGGTAATTGAGTCCTGGTATGGCACTGCAGGATATGTGCTGGACCTCAAGTTCAGTTTGAGCCTCAAGGTCAGCATGTCAAAAGCACTGTAAAGGGGTGGGAAACAGGTAGCCTTGTATAGGGCACAGAAGCAATACTTAAGCTTTGGCCCATGGACCACTGGCTTGTGGTCATAAATGTCTAGGAAAATGACAGAGAATGTGGGACGGAGAAGGCAGAGTGAACTGATCACAGCAGACGTTCAATGAGACTGACAGTCCAGGGCAGGGCCAGAGCAGGAATAGGAAGAGCAGGAGGCCCAGGGTCAGGTCTGAAAGTCCAGGAAAGCAGGGAACTGAGCCTTTTCGCCAGAAGCCCAAAGCCTTCCCTCTGCTGAGCTCCTAGTCCTCTTTAACAACCGCCCAAACACCGCCTCCTTCCTGAAGCCCTTCCCAGAGGTCCCACTGTGTGTTTCCACCTCCTCAGGGCTCATTCAAGGAGCTCTGGTAGTCTAGTGGTTACGAATCAGGCTACTAAACTCAAGGTGGGCAGTTTTAAACTACCATCCGTTCCGCAGGAGAAAGATGAGGCTTTCAGCTCCTATAAAGATTTATAGCTTCGGAAACCCTATATGGGGTCACTATGAGTCAGAACCGACTCCATAGTACTTAACAACAACAACAGGGTTCATTTGGATTCCTGGTGTGGTGCTGTAGGATAAGCACTGGACTGCTAACCACAATGTCAGAAGTTCAAACCTACCAATTGCTCCTCAGAGACCCTATATAGGGTCTGACACAACAGCACTTAACCACATCATCAGGGCTCATTCACCAGTGCCTTACTAGGACTCCAAGGGCAGGAACTGCTTTCTCACTGTGCTTGTAGTCCCTGGGCCTGGTACAAGTGAGCAATTCATGTTTGCTGAATAAATTACAGAAACCAAAGAGGAAGGGAAAGGCAGAGAATCCAGGTCTGTCTTGAGCATACACTCAGAAATCAAGTAACTTGGGTTCAAATCTGCTTACGAGCTGCATGGCCATAGACAGATTCGTTAATTTCTCCTAGATTGGTTTCTTCATCAAAAAAGAGAATAGTAGTCTGTTTTTCATATGATTCTTGTGAGGATAACTCAAGCCCCTTAGCATGGAATCTGACACATAATAAGTGCTTATTGTTGTTGTTGTTAGGTGTTGTCAAGTCAGTTCTGACTCATAACAACCCTATGTAAGGTTTCCAAGGAGCCACTGGTGGGTTTGAACTGCATACCTTGTGGTTTGCAATCCAGTGTTGACCATGCAGCACCACACCAGGAGTCCTGAAGGAGTATCAATTACAATCATAGTTAATATTCACCTAAAGAATCATAGTTGTGACGGTTGGAAACTGAAGGAGAAGTCTGTCGATTAGAAGGAGAGTTAGAGAGAAAATGCTAAGAAGCATTGGTTAATGCTTTGTACTTGTCCCAAGATAAATTAGTTCCATATATTTGCATCATAATGTTTTCCAACTGTACCTTTCAAGGTGTGTATCCAATTTCCCTATCAGGAGGAATGTATCATTACTCAGTTGAATCAACTGTGTGGGGTGAATCCAGCAAAGTAAAGCAGAACAAAGGTGTACACCTGAGAAAAAGAAGGTGATGGGAAAAGAACACACCAGGAGTATACTCTCCGACAAGGAGAACTCCTTATCCCTTGTGGGAATTATAATTAAAACCCTATGCAGCTGTGGCACTGAAAAGACTCTTTCTGGAAGCAGAGCTAGTCTAAATAAAGAACTAATTTTCACGCTAGCTGGGTGAAGGGTTTGTTTTATCATGTGTTGAAAGCCTGATGTAGACCTGCCCTCTTAGATACACTTAAATGAACCAGGTCTGAGCACATGTTTTTGAAACACCAAAAAAGGAGACAGAGCATACACACACAGTTGAAACTGAAAGACTCAAAAAACATTGATTCTGCTAGACTTTTCATTCTGGAAATACTTAAATAAATGAGCACTGCAATATTTCAGGAAGTGGAATTAAAAAGAAAATGATGGACAAAAACAAAATTATAAATGGTCAAATGAGGACACATATTGAGGGCAATTATTCGTATGTGCTTTTCCCTCCAATCTATCAAATATGATGTTTAACCACATTTATCTTCATTGTCCCCATAGGAAACAACTCATACAGCTAAATGAGCAACTGAAAGCAATGCATGAAATTCAAGATGTGAACAAGACAATAGTAAGGCTGGAGAATGAAGCGGACCTCTTACTTGAAGAGCTTCAGGAGAAAACAAATTTACACTCCACAGTCCATAATGCAAGTATTATTGGTAAGAGAGAAAATGCACTTCAACTGTCAGTTTCAACACAAAGTTTGATGAAATCTACAGTGTATTCCAAGGAGCCCTGGTGGCGTATTGGGTTACACATTGAGATGCTAAACCACAAAGTCAGCAGTTCTAATCCATCTGCCGCTCCAAGAGAGAAAGATGAGGCTTTCTGCTCCCGTAAAGATTACAACCTCAGAAGTCCTGTAGGGTCACTATGAATTAGAACTGACTCGAAGGCACGCAACCATAGCGTATTATTCCATTAGTAATCGTGAGCCACTCCATGCTTACCACCATAGTCCCTGAACACTTTAAAGGTAAAAACACACCCAATAAAGGTATGATCTGAACATGAATGCTTCAACTTTTTAAAACATTGCAAAGTCTGGATACTAGGCACTCAAAATTACACACAAAGCTAACAAGGTCTGATACTAGACAAATATTAAAAACTGAAAAGAGTCTTCTAATGTCAAGCCCTTCAAGGGGTCTTAAGTAATCAGCAACTCAGTAATTCTAATACAGATATAAAGAAATGAGAGCGATATCTTCTTATTCCTTCCTTGGTATTTGCAGCAACCATAAATGCAAAAGAATATGAGACAAGAAGGAAATAAACACAGTTCTCACAAGAACCTTGTAGGGACTAGAGTTATGAAACACAGTAGCAGAAGCCCTTTAATTCATATTGCATATCTAAACCAAATCAATTTTGACTCATTGAGACTCTATAGGGTTCAGTAGAACTGCTCCGCAGGATTCTCAAGGCTGTAAATCATTACAGGCTGCAACATCTTTCTCCTGAGGAGTGGTTGATGTGTTTGAACCACCAACCTTTCAGTTACCAACAAAATGTTTTAATCACTGTGACACCAGGTGCTTTTCGTATCGCATAGTTATTTAAAATGAGTGTGAGTCATACCAAAACCAAAAGGAGGAGCAATGAAATTTTAAAGCAAAACTTTGACTAGGGCATGTCCTAAAATGAGATCCCTGTTATATCTGGGAATGGACAATCTATTGCTACCAAAAGAGGCAGTGCTGAGTTTATTCTCACCTACCCAAACCAATTGAGAGGTAGAAAGAAAATACATGTGAAACCAATCTCTGGGCAAATCCTTGACTGTTTTTCCAAATCCCGTGTATATGTTTCTTTCTTCATCTAATCTTGAATTTCAAAGAGAAAACTCTGATGGAAAATTAGAACCCTAAAAAGGAGCCTAAACTTAGTGAAAAAAAACTTCAGGCAAAGATCTATTGATGATGTTCCATAAGTACCATGTAAAGAGTAAGAGAGAGGTATCCATAAGTGGTTAACATAGTTGGCTGCTAACCACAAGGATGGAGTTTTAATTCCCAAACAATGCTGCCAGACTAAAAGAGACAGCAATCCTACAGGACAAAGTAGAGCAGACCCATAGGGAACTCCAGGCTGTAAATCTTCAGGGAAGCAGTCTACTTCTGAAAATCAGTAGACGAAACCCCTGTATATTGCAGTAGTCTGCTCTCCAAGATGTTGGAGATGGCATAGAATTGGGCAGCCTTTTGTACCACTGAGCATGGAGTTGCTATGAATTGCAAAAAGTAAGGAATTTAATCTGATTCCTGATCTGGAAGAAGGTGCCCACGGAAAGAACTCAAAATCCATCAGAGGTCACCCCAAGCCAGGTAGAACGAAGTCAAGCTGCCTCCACACTCGTCCTCTCACATTTGCAATCTGATCACAGCAATGGGCCTTCCTCAGTGTCTGGCACTGCGCTGGTGAGTAGACACAAAGAGCTAATTACAGCAAGTTCTTGCCTGGAGTTATTCCAGTCTATTGTGGAAGACAGGCACTCAGGACCCCAAACGCCAGAAATGCTCGGTTAGGCTGTCTTCAGGCTGCCTCCATGACAGACTAACAGGAACTGTATGCTTCCTGCATTTATTAAGAAGGACTTAAGGGACCCATTAAAAATCCACAGTTGTCGAGTGGATTCTGACTGACGGCAATCTTACAGGACAAAATCGAGCAGACCCATCGAGAACCCCAGGCTATAAATCTTCAGGGAAGCAGACTGCCACGTCTTTCTCCCACGGAGTGGCTAGTGGGTTCAAACCACTGAACTTCTGGTTAGAAACCAAGTACCTTAATCATTGTACCACCAAGGGCTGCTTTGACTTCAAGGAGTAGCTAACAACTTAGATGGATTTCACAGCATAGAGGTAAATCTGCCAGGTCAATAAAGACAGGAAATCATTGCAAGCAATAGGAACCTGGGTTTTTTTCATGATATATATATGTATGAAAAGCAAGATGTACTCAAAGTTTACAAGAGAAGGTTTTGTTGTCTCATAACTAGATTATGGTTTAAGTGTTGTTGTTAAGTGCCGTTGAGTCAGTTCCTACCCATAGTGATCCTGTATAGGGTTTCTGAGGGGCGGCTGGTAAGCATGAACCATCGACTTTGCGGTTCAAACCAACCTTGCAGTCCAGTGCATTAACCCACAGCACCACACCAAGACTACATGGTTTATGTGGTGGTTGTTGTTGTTGAGTGCCTTCAAGTCGGTTCCAACCCATAGCGACCCTGTATAGGGTCTCCGAAGAGCGACTGGTAAGCTTGAACCACCAACCTTGCAGTTCAAATGGCTTTGAGTCTGGCTCATTAACCCACAGTGCCACACTGAAAATATGGTTCCAAAATATAAAGCTACTGTTTAAAAGTAAAATATACTATAATCTATGCTAAAACATGCCATCTTTCTTTCATGAATCTGTATTTTCATTAAAATATGGCAAGTACAGAGAAGTGCTTACAAATACAAATTCTAGAGTCAGCTACCTGAGTTCACACGCAGGCTTCATCTCCTATCATCAATGAGACCTCATCAGAGTGCCTTGCTTCATCAGAGTCTCTGTTCCCTTATTTCTGAAATGAGAATGTACATGCATAGCTCACAATGTTTTATGAAAATAAAGAGAAAATTGCTCGGGAGTTCAGAAACATTGAGAACACTCAACAACTGCTAACTATTGCCATCAGCCTCAGTATCTGGATCAGAAAACCGCAGACCAAAGGCCAAATCTGTCTGCAGCCTGTTTTTGTAAATAAGGTGTCCTTAGAACATAACCACACCTATTTATTAATTGGTTGTCTGTGGCTGCTGTCATTCTACGATGGCAGAGTTCAGTGACTGTAACAGCAACACTATGTCAGATGACAGCTAAAACAGGAAATATTGTCAACTTCTGCTGTGTAAAGTTGTTGTTAAGTGCCTTTGAGTCAGTCAGTGCCTACTCATAGCAACTCTGTATAGGGTTTTCAAAGAGCGGCCGGTAAGTTTGAACTGCAAAATTTGCAATTCAAATCCACCTTGCATTTGAGTGCTTATTCTCAGAGCCACAACAGGACTACTCTACATAGTGACTGTGTGCTGTGGAGTCGGTTCCGACTCATAGCGACCCTATACAGGGTTTCCAAGGCTGTAAATCCTTACAGGAGCAGAATGCCTCATCTTTCTCCCGTGGAACAGCTGGTAGTTTTGAACTGCTGACCTTGCGGTTGACAGCTCGATTTGTAAACACTACACTACCAATAGGTAAACGTAATCGATTTATCATTTTACCATCCATATGTTGTTGTGTGCTGCCGAGTTGGTTCTGAATCATAGCAAGCCTGTATAAGGTTTCTGAGAACAACTGATGGGTTTGAACTGCTGACCTTATGGTTAGCAGTCCAGTGCTTGTCCTACAGTGCTTGTCCTACATCAGCGCTCATTCATACGGTATTCATTAATGCCTTACATTTGTGAAACACCTTTAGAGGCATTTTCATGTTATCTCACTTCAAATTAAAGAACAAAAAACAGTTATCATGGAGTTGATTCTGACTCAGTTATTCCATGTGTGTCAGAGTAGAACTGCACTTTGTAGGATTTTAATAGCTGATTTTTCAGAATGAGATCACCAGGCTTTTCTTCCAGAGTATCTCTAAGTGAACTTGAACCTCCAGCCTTTTGGTTAACAATGGAGAAAGTTAACCACTTATATCACCCAGACTCATCACAAGTTATTATCACCAACTTAGAGATAAGAAAAGAAAATTTAATTGATCAACTACTTTGTTCAAGGACCTACCCAGTTAGTAAGAGGTGAAGCCAGTACTCAAACCCATGTCATGTTCTCTATATATACACCTGTCCTCTGGTACAACACTGTGGGATAAAGCCCTGAACCACAACGTCTGTTTGAAACACAAGGTTGGCAGTTGAAACTCACCAGTCTCTCCTTAGAGAGACTGACTCAACAGCACTTAACAGCACTTAACAGCAACTATTACGCTAAGTCAAATCCTTTTGCTGTAGGACTGGTAACCATAAGTCGACAGTTCAAACCCACCAGCAGCCTTCAGAAACCCTATACTGGGTCTCTATGAATCAGAACCAACTTGACGGCACACGGTAACAACAATCCTTCTCCTTAAATACAAAATCAAAGAGGGAGATGTTGAATCTTTGTATTGATAGTTGAGACCAAGACAGTAACCAAGTTGTGGAATGAGTTTTTTGATAGTCAACTTACAATTCCATTTGTTTTCAAAAAATTAATCTAACTTGAATTTGCATTGATGTAGATTCCTCAAAGAACATCAAGAAGTATTATCAGATGTCATCATCTGCTGAAAAGGAAACGAATGATACTTCATCTGTCATAAATAATTCTGAAAGCATCAGAAATGACTTACTTGCCATCTTAGAGACAGTAACCTCAACAGGAAACAGGTCTTTGGAAAAATTAAAGCAAATTAAGATACCAGATATCCAAACATTGAATGAAAAGGTAATGGTGATAGTATGTTAACGTATTGGTGATTTCTAGTTGCTTTACAGATTTTTTCAATTGTGTTTCTCATCTTACATTTTATTTTTGCTTTAAAATTCTTTCTTGAGTCAGAATCAAAAGGTAAAGATTGTGGCTTAATTGTTTTGTGTGATTATTTCCACAGTGGTATAGATTATGGACTTTATCCCTCTTGCCTCAGTATAAGTAAAAGGTCATTTCTGTCTTAAAAAAATAAATAAATAAACAAGAGAACCCTAAAACTATAGTTATTCCTCCCCAAATTACAAGTATAAAAATTACGTTGATTGATACAATACTAAGAAAGTATAAAAATGGCATTGATGGAAACAATATTTGTTATTACGATTGTATCAGCCAACGTCATTTTAATACTTGTAATTTGGGTTTGGGGGATAGCCAATTTTTTAGAGTTCCCTTGCTTATTTTATTTTTTAAAACAGAAATGTCCTTTCTGTTTACTTATGCAAGAGGAGCAAATACTAATAAGACAATACTAATATGGAGGGTCAGAGAAAAAGAGGAAGACCCCCAACGAGATGGACTGGCCAAGTGGCAGCATGAATGGACTCAAGCATGGCAACAGTAGTGAGGTTGGCCCAGGATCGGGCAGTGTTTCCTTTTGCTGTGCATAAAGGCACTATGGGTCAGTACCGACTCGATGGCACCTAACAACAACTGTAACATATATGACCACTCATCTGTTAGTCTGTCATACTGTAACATATATGACCACTCATCTGTTAGTCTGTCCTACTGTGGTGATTTGCAAGTCACTGTGATGCTAGAAGCTATGCCACAAGTGTTTCAAATACCAGTAGTTTTCAGAGGAACTTCCAGACTAGGAAGAAGGAACAGGAGGCCCACTTCTGAAGAACTAGCCACTGAAATTGGAGTACAGTGGTGCCACAGGATAAGCATTGGACTCTGAACCACAAAGTTGATGGTTCGAGCCCACCAGTAGCTCCTCAGGAGACCGACAAGGCTTTCAGATCCTGCAAAGATTTTTTTTTTTAAGCCTCAGAAACCCTATATGGGGTTTACTATGAGTTGGAACAAACTCAACGGCACTTAACAACAACAGTAACAGCCACTGAAAACCTTTTGGATAGCAGAAGAACGTTGTTTGATACAGTGTCAGCAGATCAGCCCCTCAAGTTGGAAGGCTCTCAAAATGCAATTCTGAAAGAGCTGCCTCCTCAATTTAGAGTCAGCCTTAACGATGTATACGGATTAAAGCTTTTAGAACCTTTATTTGCATATGGAGCCCAACTCAAAATAAGAATACACAGCTTCAAACATCCATTAATAATTGAAATGTGGAATGTATAAAGTATGAATCTTGGGAAATCAAAGTAAAAAAATGAAATGGACTTCATAAAGATGGATTAGCTCCTAAGCATTAGTGAGTTAAATAAATTTGTGTTAGCCATTTTGAATCTGGAAATGGTTTAGGATGTCAGGAATAACAAATTCAAGAGGAATGTTGCTGTACTCATCATCAAAAAGAATATTTCAAGATCTAATTTGAAGAACAGTGTTGGCTGTGATCAGATATTTATATGCCTACAAGGGAGACCAATTAATACCACTATTATTCGATTTTATGCACCAACTACCAAAATCAATGATGAAGAAATTGGAGAATTCTACCAACTTCTTCAGTCTGAAATTGATCAAACATGAAATCAAGACGCATTGATAATCACTTGGGATTGGAATGTAAAAGTTGGAAACAAAGAGGAAGGACTAGTAGTTAGAAAATATGACTTTGGTGATAGATATGATACTAGTGGTTGTGGTGGTTATGTGCCGTGAAGTCAGTTCTGACTCATAGCGACCCTGTATAGGGTTTCAGGGGCTGTAAATCTTTAAAAGAGCAGAAAGTCTCATTTTTCTCCAGCAGGACCACTGGTAGTTTTGAACTGCTGATCATGACATTAGCAACCCAACTCATAACCACTATGCTACCAGAGCTCCTTATGATACTGGAGATCCTGTGATATAATTTTGCAAGACAAATGACTTATTCATTGGAAATATCTTTTTTCAACAACATAAACAGTGACTATAAAGGTGAACCTCACCAGATGAAATACAAAGGAATCAAGCTGATTACACTTGTGGAAAGACACAAAGGGGAAGTTAATACCATCAGCCAAAACAAGAACAGGACCCACCAGTGGAACAGACCTCCAACTGGTCATATCCAAGTTTTAGGTTGAAGCTGACAAAAATCAAAACAAATTCACAAAAGTCAAAATACAATCTTGAGTATATCCCATCTGATGCATTAGACACAAATGACCAAAAACCAAAGGAATGGAGGGATGACATCAAGAACATCATGCATGAAGAGAGTAAAAGGTAATTAAAAAGACAGGAGAGAAAGAAAAGACTGAAATGGATGTCAGAGAAGACTCTGAAACATGCTTTTGAATGTAGAGTAGCTAACACCAATGGAAAAAATTATGAAATCAAGGAGTTGAACAGAAAATTTCAAAAGACATCTCAAGAAGACAAGTTGAAGTATTGTATTGAAAATGTGCTAAGACCTGGAGTTAGAAAGCCAGCAGGGAAGAAGAAGCTCAGCATTTCTCAGGCTGATAGAACTGAAGAAAACATTCAAGCCTCAGGATACAATATTGAAGAATTCTATAGGCAATGCAGGAAGCATCAAAAGAAGATGAGAGAAATACTTAGAGTCACTGTACCAAAAATAGCTAGATGACATTCAACCATTTCAGGTGGTAACATACGATCAAATAAAAATGGTATTGAAGGAAGAAGTCCAAACTTCACTGAAAGTTAGCCAAAAGCAAGGCTCCAAGAATTGATGGAATACCACCTGAAATGTTTCATTAACCTGAGGCAGCACTAGAAGCACTCATTCATCTATGCCAATAAATTTGGAAGGCACCTACCTGGCCAACTAAGGAGCTCTGGTAGCGTAGTGGTTACGAATCGGGCTGCGAACCTTAAGGTCAGCGGTTCGAAACTACCAGCTGCTCCGCGGGAGAAAGATGAGGCTTTCTACTCCCGTAAAGATTTACACCCTCGGAAACCCTGTACAGGGTCGCTATGGGTTGGAATCGACTCGACGGCACTTAACAACAACACCTGGCCAACTGACTAGAAGAGATCTATATCTGTGCCGATCCAAAGAATACGGACTCAGTGGAATGCTATAGATCATTAACATCACATGCTAGTAAAATTTTGCTGGAGATATTTAAAAAATAATTGCTGCATAACATTGACACGGAGCTGCCAGGAACTCAAACTGAATTCAGACGAGTGTGTGGAACAAAGAACATCATTACTGACCTCAGATGAATCTTGGCTGAAAGCAAAGAACACCAGAAAGATGTTTAAGAATCTTGGCTGAAACCAGAGAATACCAGAAAGATGTTTACTTGTGCTTTGTTGACTGTGAAAGGCATTCCACTGTAGATCATAACAAACTATGGATAACATTGCAACGAGTGGAATTTCCAGAACACTTCACTGTTGTTCAAACAGAACAAGGGGATACTGAAAGGTTGACAATCAGGAATGGTGTTCATCAGTGTTGTGTTTGCTCACCATACTTATTCAGTCTGTGTGAGCAAATAACCTGAGAAATTGGACAATGTAAAGAAGAAAAGAGACATCAGCACTGAAGGAAGGCTCATTAACAATTTGTGATATGCAGATGACACAACCTTGCTTGCTGAAAGCAAAGAGGACTTGAAGTCCTTACTGATGACTATAAAAGACTTCAGCATGGATTACAACTCAGTGTAAAGAAACAAAAATTCTAACAAGACCAATAGACAAATTATGATAAACAGAGACAAGACTGAATTTGTCAAGGATTTCATTTGGCTAAGACCCACAACCAATGCTCAAGAAAGTCATGGTCAAGAAATCAAATGAGATATTACATTGGGCAAAGATGCTGCGAAAGACATTTTAAAGGTGTTAAAGAACAAAGAAGTCACTTTGAGGACGGAGGTGCACCTGACCCAAGCCATGCTCTTTTCAGTCACCTTATATGAATGTGAAAAATGAAAAATAAATAAGAAAGATCATAGAATTTATGCATTTGAATTATGGTGTTGGTGAAGAATATTGAAAGTACCATGGGCTTCTCTGTGTTAGGAGAAGTACAACCAATATGCTCCTGAGAAGTGAGGATGGCCAGACTTTGTCTCATGCATTTTGGACATGTAATCAGGAGGGACCAGTCTCTGGAAAAGGACATCATGCTTGGTGAAGTAGAGTGTCCATGAAAGAAGGAGGCCCACAAGGAGATGGACTGACACAGTGGTTGCAACAATGGTTTCAAACATAACAATAATTGTGAGGATGGGGCAGGACCAGGCAGTGTTTCATTCTATTGTACATCGGGTAGCTATGAATCAGAATGGACTCGACAGAACCTATGAACAACAACAATAGCAAATAGTTTAGCTATTTATTACGTTATCTAGGAGAGATTTCATGGGTCACCTCCATGTGCCAAGCATAAACAACTATTGAAAAAACACTTAAGAGAAAGCAGTGCCTTACCTCAATGACCTAGATGGGAAAACTCACATGTAGAAGCTCATGTCATGATATATAAGTGCACATATATAAGAGATATATGCTGTTGTTATAAGAATATATTTAAATGCTACACATAATAGATTTAGTCTAAAACTATAGCATATGCCATTGTTATGAAGAATGTGCAATGCTACCTTTGAGACAAATATGTTCACTCATTATGTGTTATATTGTGGCAGAAAAGAACTCTGAGAACACGTTGCTCTTTAACATACATATTTTCTTCTGGAAGGTGTGTGGAGAGCCGGGGCACCTTCCCTGTGAGCTAGCTCCCTGTGGTGGTGCTCTCTGCAAGGACTCTGAAGGGCACAGACAATGTGGTGGCCCCAGCTGCCTTGGCTCCCTGACCCTCTCTTGGAATGCCCTCCAGAAAGCCCAGGAAACAGAAACCGAGATTCATAATTTGGACAGCCAGCTTCAAGGGTTGAAGGACCAGGTAAATAATATCTTTTCTTGTTTTATTTCTAAAGTCATAGCAAGAAAGGAGAAAACCTGTTTGAATTTTTTAAAGATTATCCTTTATGCACAACAATGTTCATCGCAGCACCATTCACAATAGCAAAAAGATAGAGACAGGGTAAGTGCCTATCAATGGAAAAGTGATTAAACAAACTTTGGTATATACACACAGCGGAACACTATGCAAAGCTGAAGAATAATGGTGTATCTGTGAAACACTTCACAACATACATAAACCTAGAGAAATTATGCTGAGTGAAATTAATCAATCACAAAAGGACAGATATTGTATGAGACCACTATTCTAAAATCTCAAGGAAAGGTTTTCATAATAAAAGAAATATTCTTTGATGATTACCAGGGGTGGGAGGGAATGGAGAGTAACTCACTAACTAGAGGGTGTTGTTGTTAAGTGTCGTCAAGTCAGTCCTGACTAATAGCAACCCTATGTAGGGTTTCCATGGAGCAGCTGATGGATTTGAACCATCAATCTTGTGATTAGCAGTTAAGGGCTGATTCTACAGTGCCACACCAGGACTCCATGTCAACTGGGTGATAAGAAGGGCAATATAGAAGAAGAGGGAGGTTGGCAAAAGAATAATGAAGATAGGTAAAGACATAAGGAGTTATGCATGGGCTAAAGGGAATACAAGTAAATAGTGATGTAGACACAACCTTGGAACAACGTTTTGCAATTAAATACATGAACAGAGAGACAGGCTGAATGGGTATGGGAAGAAAAGTGGGATTTTATATATATATATATATAGCGCTGTAGGAAAAACACTGGACTGCAACGTCAATTTGAAGTGCAAGGTCAGTGGTTAAAACTCACCAGCTACTCCTTGGAAATCCTTTACAAGGTAGCTATGAGTTGGAACCCACTTGAAGGCACTTTTCCCACAAATATATGAGTTTGAAAGAGGGAAAAAAAATAGATTGCCCTTTAACTTCCAAGTGAAATAGGATAGATCTTTAGATTGCATGTTTGGTCAATATCAGACTGAAGAAGTTGGTAGAATTCTTCTATTTCATCATCACTTTAGTGGTTGATGCATAAATTTGAATAATAGTGGCATTAATTAGTCTTCCTTTGTAGGCATATGGATACTATCCTGTCACAAACAGCACCGTAGTTCATTATAGATCTTGAGATACTCTTTTTGATAATGAATGTGATTTTTCATTCTTGGCATAGTAAACGATTTGATTGTCTGATTCAAAATGACCAGTACCAGTCCATTTTAGTTCACTAATGCCTAGGATATAGATCATTATGTGTTCCATTTCATTACTGATAACTTTAATTTCCTCGATTTATATTTCATACATTCCACGTTCTAATTATTAATGGATGTTTGTAGCTGTTTCATTGTGCCCCATGAGCAAATAAAGGTCCTGAAAGTTTGGGTCCTTCCATGCCATTAAGGTCAACTTGTACTTTGAGGAGGCAGCTCTTCCCCAGTTGTGTTTTTAGTGTCTTCCAACCTGAGGGGCTCATCTTCAGGCATTTATTGAGACCTTGTTCCATTGCTACTCATAAGGTCTTCAGTGGCTAGCCCTTTAGACATGGTTTTCCTGTCCTTCTTCCTAGTCTGTCTTAGTCTGGAAGTTCTACCGAAAACTGTCCACTATGTGTAACCCTGATGGTATTTAAGATATTTGTGGAATATCTTCCAGTATCATAGCAACACACAAACCACCACAATATGACAGACAGATGAGTGATGGACAATTTGTATTTACATACAATTCTATTACTACATAGTTTTTCATTATATGTGATCCTTGATCAATTTAACAGAATTCAATGAGTATCTATTATGTGCCCAGCATTGATCTAAATATTGGAAATATTACAGTGAATATCCCACTGCCATTGAGTTCATTCCAACTCTTAGGGACCCTCTAGGAAAGAGGAGAACTGCCCCATAGGGTTTCCAAAGCTGTAATCTTTACAAAAGCAGTTGGCACGTCTTTCTCCCTCAGAGCAGTGTGTGGGTTCCAATGCCTGATCTTTTGATCAGCAACTGAGTGCTTAACCACTGAGCCATCATTGCTCCTAGCATTCATTGTTCTACTGCCATCCAGTCGATTCCACTCCTAAAGGTTTAAGAGCAGACAGCTTCATCTTTCTCTCACAGAGCAGCGAGTAGGTTTGAACCACTGACCTTTCAGTTAGCCACCCAGTGCTTAACCCACTGTGCCACCAGGCTTCCTTGTAGCTGTGAACATTACAGATGCAAATCGTTATCTTATATACTGGCAGTTAAATTTTAAACTTACTATATTGCCTTGTCTCAAAAAATAGATATTCCCATGCTGTTTAGCCCTGATTGCCACGATATTTAGCTTTCAGTTTTAAAAAATGATGTACATGTTAACAGAACCTGGTTTAATCGGCACATAAATGGAGAGCTGGAAAATGATGGAAGGGAAGTTGTCATGTTGATAAACACGTGTACTATTTCTCTCTTGATTAGGAGGGGAAGAATGCCAAAAAAGACTGTGAGACTTCTCAGCCGTCAGTTATGACAGAGGGTGGATTGCAGAGACATACTTTAAGAGTGAAGTAATTTAGCAGTCTCTTTTTTTCTGAATATGGCCTCGACGAATCTACACTGACATCTCAGCCATTATCATTTGGTACTTTCCAGTCTAGAGCATTTATTTCTGGAATTCTCATTTTACTGCTCACCATTTTTACAAGACTATCCATTTTAAAGTTAAGAAAGTTCTAGAAAAGAAAGGTCAACAAGGTTGCACAATTTGAAGAACGTAATCAGTGTCACTGAATTGCACATGTAGAAATTGTCGAATTGGTGTGTGTATGAGTATATTCGCAACAATAACAAAAATAAAATAAATTATATTTTAAAAATTCAGAGAATTAATATATTTTTAGTCATGTAAAGATTTCTTTTTAGTTTCATCACTTGCCAAGAACTAGAATTAAATACTTTTTCACAAATCCTATATGGCAAAAATTGACCAGGCTCCTTTTATAGGAAAAGGCAGGCAAGTTTTTTAGCCTAATTATTTTTATCCTAATTAGCCCTACTACTGTCACAATTAATTTATTCAATTAAGCTCAGCTTGTTGCCTATCTTGTCCTATTTGTGTTGTTGTTGTTTTTTATCCTCCTTCTCTCTCTATTTTGGTGGAGTCCAAGAAAGGTCCATGACCTTTCTCAAATCACACAATTAAGAATTTGCACTGCCAACTTGCAAGGCTTTTAGTCCTATCTTTCCTCTTCCAAGTGCCTGAAGTGTTTGCATGTCATCTTTGCAGCCCACTCTCAGTTCAAACTCATTTATTATAAGGTGGAATGCTTTCTTGTTAGCTTTCAAAGACAGCACATTACTTGAATTTGAGGAATGTCTAAAAGAATAAATGTAGTAACTTATATAAAAGAAAATGCTCTCAACCTCTTAAACATGATGATGATTGTAGGTAAGTAGTCCTATGTAATTTCTGTAGAAATGCAGAAGTCTCATTAAAACAGAATTTGTGTTTCAGATTTGTGTGATGCTAAGTCATTAATGCCCAGTCAATATTGTCTTCAAATATTACTTTTGATCATGAACAGTGTTCTATGCAATTAATTCATATTATTATGAAAACAGATATTAGCCACCTAGCCATGAGTACTTTCCAATGAATCTAGAGTTTATTGATCTGTTCTAATTAGTTTCTAGTGATAATTATATTTGGTTTCACTAAATAACTGAACTCACAAAATAAGCCTAATCAGTGTGTTCTTTCCTCATTGTTGTTGGTTTGTTTCTTCCAGATCAAAAATTTAAGTAAACTGGCAGAAATTTCCACAGCCGTTGCCTTACAGGTCACCGAAAAACTGGAGAATATAAAAAATCAAAGTGAATCTGAGAAAGACAAAATCACTCTTTTAATCAAAAAAGTGAAAAGCTTTTTATTAGGTAATTGTTTTTAATATTAGGACTGATTTTTTCTTCTTTTCTCTCTATACTCAAATGTCATAAACAGTTCTAAGGTACATAGTTGAAAATGACATGCCTAAATCAGAAACTATTTATGCCTTGGTTTTAAATTTATTAATGACAATAATCCTAAAATAAGAATGCTATGCTAAAAAGTATGATTTTCTGAATATGATTAATTTACTAATAAATCATAGAATTTCATTTAAAATCCAAACAAATGAACTTGGTGTTTACATTATTTTTTGTTGCTGTTAAAAACGAAAAGTCCAAGACCATGACTTTATCATTTTTCCTAACATCAAGATGCTGCCATTTTTCTGTTGACAGAATTATATATCAAGATTTGCCAAACTCTGGCTAGCACAAGGGGCCTTCAAAAAATCTGTAGAAAAAATTACATTAAAAGATAATGGAATGTGTCCATGGACTTTTTGAAGCCCCTCATATTTGACATATCATGGAAAACAGAAGATGAACACTTATGTTCCAGCCTCTAAAAAGTTGATAATTAACTATTGTCCTTAAGTGCCTTCAAGTCAGTTCCCACCTATAGCCACCCTACATAGGGTTTCCAAGGAACGGCTGATGGGTTTGAACTGCCGACCTTGTGGTTAGCAGTTCAGTAATAGCTTATCCTATTACTGATTATTATTGACTATTTTCTAATCCTCTTGCTGGCCTTCTATGCCTGACCAAAAGAAGTCATCTGATGCATTATTCATTGTGTCTTATTTTGGAAGAAGTTTGTTTTAAACACTGATAACTATTAACAATAAATACTGTAGCTAGAGATGGAGTTGAAAATACTCTGCAGATAATGTAGCTTGGCTACCACATGATATGGAAACAAATCCTAAGAGGCTTGCTTTTCCATAGCCATTTTCCAAACTCTAAATCTAACACTCCTCACTTGACTTCACTGACAATCGGTACATCCATTAGAAGTTCTGCACTCACTTCATCTAGCTGACCTAGAGTTTGTTGTGGTTATTATTTATAAGATATGATGCTTGGCCAAATGATATGACTACCTAAAACTCATTTTCTTATTTAAGAGGAAAACGTGCCACCAGAGGACATTGAGAAAGTTGTGAAGCGTGTACTTGATATCCACCTATTAATAACATCACACAATCTAACCCAGGAGCTTGTGCGACTCTGTGAGGACTACAGCAAAGACGAAAACAAGCTAAATAAAACAGCAGGTAGAACTCAGAAGCTTTCAGTAAAGGCAAAAGCAGCTGAGTAAGTACAGCATTAATATTCACATTCTTCTCTAATAGATCATCTGCTAAAAGGTCATCTGAAAAAATATTTGCCTAGGGAGCCATACCATTCAAATGAAGTTACTCTCCAGGATCTAGGTTGCCATATTGGCTAAACTCTCTTTGGAGGTACCTGGGAAAAGTGGACAATTGAAGGCATTGTGGAGAGATACTTGCTTCCTGTTTTGCTTAGACTCTAAATGCCTTTCCACTGGTCTGTTAACTCTTTATCCCAACACATGCCAGATACTAGTTATATGCCAGTAGCTGAACAGGAGAGGAGTATCAGTGAGTTTTTCCTTCTACTCTACCTTTTTAGGGGGAGGGTTACTTTCTAAGTTTGCTGTAAAAAGCAGTGTTTTGGAAATCAAAAGAAGAAAAAGAATACAGTGAGAAGGATATGGTGGTGGAAAATGAACACTTGTGTTCCAGGAATAACACAGAAGCAAAAAAAAAATAGGGAAGCAGAGGCATTGTAAGTAAAGAGAATTCTTGGACTGCCACTCTACACATGAGGGAAAAAGTTAGAGATAGGGAAAGATGTTATCCCTGGGAAGAGAGTATGATTTGGGTGGGAAAATGATTTTTTGCAATTTAGTTCATTGTAGTTGAGGCTATAGTGTAGTGGTTATGAATCAGGCTGCTAACCTCAGGGTCAGCCGTTTGAAACTACCAGCTGTTCTGCGAGAGAAAATGAGGCTTTCTGCTCTCATAAAGATTTACAGCCTCGGAAACCCTGTGCAGGGTCGCTGTGAGTCAGAATCGACTCCACGGCACATAACAATAACAACAACAACAATTCTGGGCAAAAGCATTTCAAATTATGCCTTTGCAGAGGTCTGTTGATTTTTCACTCTCTGGGTACATTTCTTCCAAAGGTGGTTTTAAGTCCATAGACCTAGTATCTGGTGAATGTTGACCAAAGGTGAGCTCGTTTCTGTCAAATAGACTGTATCACTTCAAATGCTTGTGATTTTAACCTGTGGCTGGGCCCCTGAGCAGCTGGAATGTCAGTGAAGCTTAAAGAAACCTGAATAAACACATCCCGAAAGCACAGGACCTTTTAGCTCTCTCTTTGCTCCGTATGGAGCCTCTTGACTCTCCCACCCGCTCTCTGTTAAAGATTTGGAGAGTGGTTTCAATTCCGGGAAATTTAGAAAACTGAGACTGGCTGAAGACCTTTTTTCCATCTTCAAAGATTGACAGTTATATCCCCCAAACCTCTCTTCATGTGACAAATTAAGAAGAAACAACACTTGTGTCCTTAATTTCCATAGTTATCCAAATCTGTATTCACTAGATGTGATATAGATGTGTATTTTTATTCGCATTTAGATACACCTATTTCTCAAAATGAACACTTCAGCACCTTGCCTTGCTTGAGGGTAATTTTAATTTGCTTGATACATAATTCAGTCAGGCTTTTGTTTCATTCTTGAGCTGAATGAACTCTCAAGGTGAAATAAATGAATAATTTTATATTTATCTAATCTGACATGCTAATATCTTTAGGAATGCAGCAAATACACTATTAAATCTTGACAAAATGTTGAATACGTTGCAACAAGTTCAAATCATTCAAGGACGGGCAAATTCTACCATCACCCAGCTGACCACTGAGATAACACAAATGGAAAAGAACGTACTGCAGGTATTGCTCTCTCTTCTTTGAACTATCCCAAGTTAGATTTTGAGAGTGGAAACAATACAGTCATTTTTATATCTGCCAGTGACATTGCTAACCTGTCTGATGGGATAATTGTGAGGATGAAATAAGGTTATGGAGATATTGTTCATTGACTTAGTATTTTGAAGAGCCTTTCCAACATCATTTCATTTAATTGTCTAACAGTCTTAGGGGATAGAGCAGGTGTCTGTAGATGAGGTAGTCTGTAGATGTTGAAACTAAGAGACTCTAGGGAAGTTCAATGACTTGCCCAAGGCCACAGAGCTAAGGAATGGTAGATTTGAGACCAAAGTTCATCCTAGTTTCCTAGCATTGCCATAATAAATTACCACAAACATGGCAGTTTAAGACCACATTTATTTTCTCACAGTTGTAGGGACTACAAGTCTAAAATCAAGCTGTTGGAAGAGCCATGCTCTCTCTGAAGGATAGAGACAAAAATCCCTCTGCGTCTTCCAGGTTGTGGCGGCACCAGGTTTTCCTTGGCTTGTGATAGTGTAACTCTAATCCCTGCCTCTCTCTTCACATGGCCTTCTCCTCTGTTTCTCTGGGTCTCTGTGTATTCTCCTTTCTCTTATAAAGACACCAATCATTGGATTTAGGGTCCACTAATCCAGTATGACCTCATCTTAAATTGATTCTATTTATAAATATTCACATTCACAGGCTCCAGGGGCTAGTACTTGAACATATCTTCTTGGAGGACACAGTCCAACACACTACACCAGGGAAAGGAAGAAACCTTTCAGAGCTCACAAACCAAAGAACTAGAGTTAATTTTTGCAAAGTTTAAGTAACTAAATTTGCATGAAATGTCATCAGAATACCCTAAGGCAGAAAGAATATCTTACTCAAAAGGAATTGTTGAGGCAGCCTTGCGTGCTCACGTGTGACAAGTCTGAGAGTCCCCGCTCGTGCAATCGTCTGGACGAGCGAAGATGGCGGCCGAAAGGGAGCCTCCTCCACTGGTAGATGGTAAGACCATTGACTTTGAAGAGTTGGAGGACAGAGAGGACCTATTCACCAGCACTGTCTCCACCCTGGAGTCAAGTCCATCATCTCCAGAAACAGCTAGTCTTCCTGCAGAAGATATTAGTACAAATTCCAATGGTCCAAAACCCACAGAAGTTGTGTTAGATGATGACAGAGAAGATCTTTTTACAGAAGCCACAGAAGAAGTTTCTTTGGACAGTCCAGAAAGGGAACCTATCCTCTCTTCAGAACCTTCTCCTGCCGTCACTCCTATAACTCCTACTACACTCATTGAATCCAGAATTGAATCAAAGAGTGTATCCGCTCCTGTGATCTTTGATAGATCCAGAGAGGAAATTGAAGAAGAAGCAAATGGAGATATTTTTGATATAGAAATTGGTGTATCAGATCCTGAGAAAGTTGGTGATGGCATGAATGCTTACATGGCATATAGAGTGACCACAAAGACTTCCCTTTCTAAGTTCAGTAAGAGTGAATTTTCAGTTAAAAGAAGATTCAGTGACTTTCTTGGCTTGCATAGCAAATTAGCAAGCAAGTATTTACATGTTGGCTATATTGTGCCACCAGCTCCAGAAAAGAGTATAGTAGGCATGACCAAGATCAAAGTGGGTAAAAAAGATTCCTCATCCACTGAATCTGTAGAAAAACGGAGAGCAGCTCTTGAACAGTATCTTTAATGAACAGTAACATATCCAACTTTACTATAAGATCCTGATTTAAGGTAGTTCTTGGAAAGCTCTGAGCTGCCTAGAGCAGTTAATACACAGGCTGAGTGGAGCCAGAATATTGAGGATGGTGAACAAGGCTGCTGACGCTGTCAACAAAATGACAATCAAGATGAATGAATCAGATGCCTGGTTTGAAGAAAAGCAGCAGTAATTTGAGAATCTGAATCAGCAACTTAGGAAACTTCATGCCAGTGTTGAAGCCTTGGTCTGTCATAGAAAAGAACTTTCAGTCAACACAGCTGCCTTTGCTAAAAGTGCTGCCATGTTAAGTAACTCTCAGGATCATACTGCTTTATCTAGAGCTTTGTCACAACTTGCTGAGGATGAGGAGAAGATAGATCAGTTACGTCAAGAACAAGCTTTTGCTGACTTCTATGTGTTTTCAGAACTTCTTAGGACTACATTCGTCTTATTGCTGCAGTGAAAGATGTGTTTGACCATCGAATGAAGTGCTGGCAGAAATGGGAAGGTGCTCAAATTACTTTGCTCAAAAACGTGAAACGGAGGCAAAAATAATGGTGCTAACAAACCAGATAAAATACAGCAAGCTAAGAATGAAATAAGAGAGTGGGAGGCCAAAGTGCAACAAGGAGAAAGAGATTTTGAACAGATCTCTAAAACGATTCAAAAAGAAGTGGGAAGATTTGAGAAAGAACGAGTGAAAGATTTTAAAATTGTTATTATCAAGTACTTAGAATCATTAGTGCAAACACAGCAACAGCTGATAAAATACTGGGAGGCATTTCTACCTGAAGCCAAAGCCATTGCCTAGCAAGAATATGATCCCTGTTAAGAAGACCTTGGATGTTTGTTCCAGTTATGCTGAATTCCACAATGAAATCATTTAAAACCCTCTTAATAAACCACTATATATTTTGTGAATTACATGTGTGTGTATATATATAAACACACATGCTGACATTTTATTACAAGCTGCATGTCCTGACCCTCTTTGAATGGACTTTGGCATGACATTCTGCAATACTTTGCTGAATTGAATACTGTTGTGTCTTAAATACTTGCACTGAAAAGTGCACTGCAAGGCCAGAAATTTTACAGTGTTTTTCTTTACATTATATTCCTATAGTATGTTTTATCTGATCTTTATTAAGTGAATTATCAATGCATTAATTAATGTTCACTTACACACTCCTGTACAGAAATTAAGATTTTGTGATTACAGTAATAAAATGATATTCCTTGTGGAAAAAAAAAAAAAAGGAATTGTTGCATCCCAGGTTCTTTGGGAGCAAGGCCATGGTTTAATCCACATAATGAACAAAGGGAACAGAATCCTTGCACATGGAGGGCAGGATAGTTAGAATCCAGTCCCACAGCTGAGCTTCTTGGTGTGAAATCTTCTTCCTCCAAGGTTCCTAGCACATTGGGAGTTACTCAGCCTCTATTCTTCAGCTGTTTTCTGTATATCCAACTACATGCACCTTGAGAAGAAAAGCAGAAAGCAACACAACAGGAGTAGTGTGACATACACTAAACCGCTTATAACATGAAGTAGAATATTTAGAGTAAGAAAACCAAAATTAGGGCCTTCATGTTTTCCCTTTCTAAGCATATATTTAACAAACTATAGTCCATGAGTCAAATCTGACTGCTGACTGTTTTTATCAACAAAGTAATAAAGTTTTATTGGAATAAAGTCATAGTCTTCATTCACTTATATGTTATCTATGGCTGCTTTTGCCCTACAATGGTATTATTGAGTAGTTGCAACATAGACTATATGGACCAATAAAGCTCCAATATTTGTTATCTGACCCTTTACAAAAGTTTGTTGACCCTTGCTCCAGAAAACCTCTCCTACATATGCCCGAGGGCAGTGGAAGGGGTTTACATTTCTACCAATATAGCAGATCAATACCCTGAGAAATCCTTCTAGTAGTTAAACAATAAAAAGAAATAAATTTAGATACGATATTTTAAATTTTTCTTAAAATTAATAGCTGATCTAATAAGAATCTAAGGAAATCCTTAGTGGCAAAATAACAGGGAAGCATTCATCCAGAGAGGAAACCACGCACTGAAGCACACAACAGACGACGTTGGCAGGCCATGGTGCAGGAGAGCTTTTGGTTTCCTGAACACCAGACATCAGAGACAGGGAACAAAGACCATATAAGAATGGGACAAGACTCCTTCATAGAGCTGGAACCCAGAAGACAAAGCTCTCAATGAACTTGATAAACTTCTGCACACACACACAGAAAGAGCCTGTAATGAAACATGTCTCTGGGTAGAGAGGGAAAACGCTCCAGTATGGATTCCTAACCACAAGCTGACTCACACATGAGTTGGGGCTAGAATAACACTATTGCATGGCCCAAAAATCTCGAGCTAAAAATTTCCTTTAAAGTGGCTTTGGCTTAGTAGTTCTCCAGATTCCTGATAGGAACAAACACAAATCCTCTTTGAAGGAATATACCCTAAAAACAAGCCTTAGAGCATTCCTGCAAAAAACATAAAAAAAAAAAAAAACTCCATAAATGAGAGCCATCAGAATCGATAAGCCACAGGGTCAGAATGCCAGAGATGTGGATTCTGGCTTTATTAGATATAGAATATACAAGTGTCCTTGTTAAGAAAATAAAAGTTATCAACATTCGGCCAATGAACAATACACAAAAAATTATAACAAATGACCAATCAGATGTTTCTAATCCAAATAGTACTTCTAGATATGATAAAATAGTCACTGAAATAAGAAACAAGAATTAGATAAGAAACAAGTATAAAATGTTCACAATTATAACTGGAGAACAGAAAAATAAATTGTTGTGGGTCCTAACAATGGACTGTTTTAAATTGATAAAAATGAAAGAATGAGAGCTATGCAAATCAACATAGATTATCCACACAAGCATAATTTTGAATTAAAAAAAAAAAAAGTCGCAGATGTTAAAAAATAAAAACTACATATTGTTAGGAACACTATATGTTGTTAAGTGCCATCAAGTCAGTTCCGACCCATAGCGACCCTGTATAGGGTTTCTGAGGAGCAGCTAGTGAGCTTGAGCCGCAGACCTTGCAGTTCAAACGGTTTTGCAGTCTGGTGTATTAACCCACAGCGCCACCAGGACTCCTAGGAACACTATATAGTGTATAGTAAAAGGCATATAGTAAAAGACATAGATTAGATTCAGCACATGGTTACCACGATGAGAGAGAGACAGGAGTCAATGGGAAATGGTACAATGAGGACTTCAGGTCACTTTTAATATTTTCTTCTTCAACTGGCTGGTGAGCATATGAATAGGCATCATCTTCTAGACCCTTGTATATTTGAAATATTTTATTATGACATTTAAAAAAATAAATGGAACAGAAAAAGAGGAGGCAGTATTTTCTTTTCCTTTCTACCTAGTTTATTTTCAGAGAGGTTAATATATTGTGCATTTTCTTGTTTGTTTCTTGCTGCACAATGAGATTTTCCCCTTTCTGGTCTTTAAATTAACAACAGGTTGAAAATAGAGCCACAAAGGCTAAGAATGAGCTGGACTTGGCACAGCAGCAGTCGGAGCTGAAAGATGGACTTGACCTTCTGAGGAGCAAGTCACAAAGGAATCAAGACCAAGCTGCCAGTGCGAAAGCTCAGGCTGAATCCGCTCAACGCCAGGCGGGGGACATGAAGAAGGTCATTAGTCCTACCACGGCCACCAAGAATAGACAAACTGTACTTCTTTGAAGGACAATCCTTGACATTTAGACAAACGCTAAATCCAGATTTGTGTGTTGTTTGTCAGCTTTTCCTTTAATGCTGTACGTGATTAAATGGTTTATGTTCATAGGGAACTTGTTGGGTCTGAAGGCTCTTGCAGTCGAAGATGGCTTTTGTAGAAGCACAAGACCTCTGGTCAAATCATGGTAGAGTGTCTTCTCGCCATCTCCCCATCGCAGGGTTCTTAGTGGGGTATTGATCTGCTGTTGTTGCTGTTAAGTGCCATCGAGTCAGTTCCAACCCATAGCGATTCTATATAGGACTTCCGAGGAGTGGCTGGTGAGCTTGAACCACTGATCTTGCGGTCAAGTGCTTTTCCTCCAGCGCCACACCAGGTCCTGGTCTAACAATTCATAAATCAAGTTTCTCCTGGACTGCCAAATTTCAAACTTTATGGCATTTGATTACATTGTCTATATTTGCCCTTTATGCTCATTAGTTCACATAACATAGAGAAAAAGTCAGTGAAAGTCACATGCCAAAGAACAGAGATCAAGTTACCAAAATCAGAGTAGGTTAATTAAACAGTTGTGGAAAGTGGCCCATTAATTTAGGTTGCTGAAAGAATCTATCAACTCATTTTCTTAGCAGGAAATTAGTGGTTTAATGCATTAATATGGTAGTTGAAACAAAAGAAAACAATGTTAAAGTGTTTTTGCAATTTGCCTATATTCTGTTGCTTTTGAGTCCTAATGTGCTGGGGTAATTTTCCACTGACTTGGGGGTGGAGGACATTTTCTATGGGACACAAGTTGAGTAAGTTATTTCCTGCCCATCCCTCACAACCTATGTCCTGGCTTAATCCTTTATTCATGTGCTTAATACGAAGAGGTTACATAAAGTTTGTAGGAAATTTTCACTATCTTTTCATTCTATTTGCCATGGACTTTTTGAAGGTATGACACTGTTGGATAAGCACTGGACCGAAAGGTCTGCTTGAACCACAAGGTCAGTGGTTCAAACTCACCAACCACTCCTCAGAAACCCTATGCAGGGTCACAACGAATCGGAACCGACTTGATGGCACTTAACAATAACAACTCAGATTCTAGGTTGTCAACCACACAAGCTGACCCCAAAGATTTCCAAAGGAAGATCTTCAGATCCAGGACCCTTTCTACCTCATTTCTCCCATACCTTTTACCAACTGAATGTTGTATCCTTGTTGCCTTATTCTTCACCACCCATTCCTCCTTAATCTTGCAACTGTTCAACCTAATCATAGATTTGTCATGAGTATAAATTGGGTCATTTCTGTCCCACCTTAACACAGCGCTGTGGGATAAAGCACTGGACCACAAGATCGGTTTGAACCACAAGGTTGGTGGTTCAAACTCACCAGTTGCTGCTTGGAAATCCTATATAGGGTCACTATGAGTCGGAACCAACTCTACAGCACTTACCATAGCAGGGCTTAACAACTGGTGTCCCAGAAACAGTTGCCTTAACATGGAGTAATGATTGATATTTTGCAACAAAGATGTTTTATTGTTTAGTTAAGCTAACATTTCTTAACCTAAAAAACATGCCCCACTAGAAATTTAAGAGTGATTCAGGCATAGTAAGTAGATTATGGCTTCACTGTGTCCCTTTTATGATAGTGACTGGGGAATCATCATACATGTGTACATGCTTTATAAATATTTTTGGATAATGGGAGTGTTGGTTTATTACAGGTGTTTCTTGAGCTAAAAAACCAATATGCTAATCTTCAACATAAGACGAGCTCTATAGGACTGACAAAGGAAACACTGGGGAAACTGAAACAGCTCAAAGATGCTGCAGAAAAATTGGCAGGAGATACAGAGGACAAGATGAGACGAATAACAGGTATACATTGTTTTTTTTTTAAGGGGCTCTGGTGGCATTGTAGGGTAAGCACTGGACTGCTAACAGCAAGATCAGCAGTTCAAATCCACTAACTGATCCATGGGAGGACAATGAGACTTCTGGAGAAAGATGAGGCTTTCTGGTCCCGTAAAGATTTACAAGCTCAGAATCTCTTTATAGGGTCACTCCGAGTTGTAATCAGCTTGATGATGATTAGTCTTCTTTTACCCACCCCAACTAGTTTGGCAACTGCATGATTCTATCTTCAATTTGTCCTTGACCCAATTAAACCATGTGTGAGTCAGCTGAGGATAAAGACATAGGAACTGGGTTTGTGCTTTTGACTTCTGGCACGGTTTTGCCTCCCTGCTGCCATGGAGATGATTCCGACTCACAAGGACCTATGACAAAGCAGAACTTCTCTGTGGATTTTCTGAGTCTGTAAACCTTTACATGAGCAGATAGTCTCATCTTTCTCCTGTGGAGCAGCTGGTGGGGTTTGAACCTCTATACTTTCAGTTGGCAAATGCTTAATCCACTGCACACCAGGGTTCTTTGTGTTGTTGTTGTTGTTAAGTGTTGTCATGTCAGTTCTGACTCACACTGACCCCGTATAGAGTTTCCGAAGAATGGCTGGTGGATTTGAGCCGTCCACCTTGCGATGTTAATAAATGAGTCTGTATTCATCACTGACAAACTGAGATTGCTTCTGGTCACCTTGAAATGTCCTTATCCTCATCACACTCAACTGGGAGGAATTTTACCCCAGGGAATATTTGGCAATGTCTGAAGATATTTTTGCTTGTCACAACTTCAGGGGGAGGGGAGAGGGGAGCTACTGGCATCTGCTGGGTAGGCCAGGAGTGCTGATAAAATAAACATCCTACAATGCATAGGATAGCACCCCACAAGAAAGAATGATCTAACCCAAAACATCATCATGCGAAAGTTGGGAGGTCCTGAGTAGGCTGGTTATTTTTCCTCTCACTCCAGTAATTCCTTCTGGGTCAGTGTGATGTGCTATCAGGGCACTGTGTCATCTAGCATAGATTTATTGGTAGTCATTCTGAAAGAGATCATATTTTAGACAAAGATTTTCATGGACATGGAACTCTGGTATACACAAAGTGTAGTAAACATAGAACACATAGCATCAGACAGTTCATCAGATCTTTTTTTCTTCCCAGAATTGATATTCATAGTGGTTTCTTCAGACAATCTTCATGTTCTTAACTGACTCTACATCATCAAAAAATGATCAAATCATGACGGGTACCAAATTTAGTGGTGGTTGTATTTATTGTCTCTCAAAACTTCAAAATTAATTATATTCATTTGGAATTTAAGTAATTCTTAAATATCCAAACTGTTCACTTGTATAACTGCTCCTTTGTTATGAGTCTTTGGCCTTACAACTACTTATATCATCACTATGGCATGAAAAAAATGGAAATGCAACGTTAGTGTAGGCTACAATCAAAGAAAAGACATACCAAACTCGGGTATGTTATCTACTGATCTCTCAGGGGAGAGCAGAAAGGAAAAAACTCCATTTTTACTTTCACATCATTATTTTTTAAGTAGTGAGTTTGTGGGTAATTTTTTAATACTTTTCTAATAAATTTTCAAAGGAAATAACTGGAATTTTCCAGAGTTAATCCAGTAATAAAGTCATAGAATATTTTTTAACTTGTACTCCATAGATTGCTTCATGAGAATCATTTTTTAATATTCCCAGTCATTGTTCATTACTGCAGAAGCAAACACATGGGGAGGATATTTCTGTCTCGTGTTTCACATCAGGGTCCAAATTATTTCCACTTATCCCCAAAGATTAAAAACTCCTATAGCTCCTGAAATTACGTTGGAAGAGTTTAAGTTCTCAGACAGGTTGAAAACAAGCCATTCGGTGTGGGTTTTTTTTTCACTTTAAGGATATTTTCACAATTCAACAGAATACAAAGGTAAGACATGGATTTGGCTGTCTACTCTACTCTTGTCCTGCCGTGTTCTTGTTTATTAGAAAGAGTTGGCCATGGAATCCCAGTAGGGAGTCCTTTAGCAGCACCGATGTTAAAGGAATGAAGAATGGGCCCTACCCTACGATTAGGGATCTATCAGGTCTGTCAGGGTCATAAGACATAGAAAGCATACTTGGGCATATGTAAATATAACATATTATAAACAAAGTTGTCTCCAGTATCTATTTACCCTATAACAAACCACCACAAAATTTAATGACTGAAGTCAAAAGCCATGTTTTTGATTCTCTGGGTTGCCTGGGAAGTTCTCTGCAGGTCTCACCCGGGTTACCCAATGGCTGGATGCTGGCAGGACAGCATGGGATGGGGCTGCCCTGGACTGCTGGAATTCTCTCTGTATGGCTGCTTTGCAGCCTGGTTGTTTCAGGGTCCCACAAAAAGAAGAGCAGAAACTGCATGTGCTCTTGAGGCCCCGCAACATTATATTGGTCAAAGCAAAGTGCAAAGCTCACGTTTGGGAGGAAAGGATAAATAGACTCTCCTTCTTGATGGGAGGAAGTAGAACGACTGTATGATCATTCTTAATCTACCAGCAGAGTTAAGGGAATCAACAAAGAGTACTGAGTTATGGGATGACTAGCAGCAGGTAGAAGCTATTAGCATCCCAGGACTGAAGAAGAAAGGGATGACAAGAATGTAGCCGGAGCCCAGTGGAAACTCCAGCCTTAGGGAAGAGGCCTCTCTGCAGGAGCTGGAGTTGAGATATAGAACAACAGCCCAAACCATGCATGGTGACTGCTCACTCTTCCCAGACTCTGGTCACTTATCAGCTCCATTCACTGGACAAATGTGAATGTGAGCCAGAGGACAAGAGAGCCTGACTTTCTAAGACACAGAAATGGTGAAAATTGGACCTGGTGGGGCAAATGCAAAGTAACCAGCACAATCACATGAACTTATTTGGTAAAACGCAATTTTGAATTCTAGTGCACTTCCAGTGCTGAACCTACTTTTCCATTCCAAATGACCTACATTTGAAATTTTCCAGTGACAGAAGTCTCACCACTTTCTACAGTAGCCATTTAGACTTTGAACAGTTGTAGCTATTAGAAAGTTCTTCCTAATGTTCACACAAAATCTTCCTTCATGGAGCCTTCACCTGCTGGTTTTTGTTCTAATTCCCCAGGAGGACAGAGAACGTATCTATCCTACTTTCCTGAGCTTGCCTTTCAAATACCTGACAATTGCTATGGCACATGCCCACACTCTTCTTTTCTTCATCTGAAACATCACCAGTTGATTCAACATTTGTTCACAGGGCAATTTCAAATTTCTGTTTTTTTCCTCTAAACACATGCCAATTAGACAATTACCCAAAACCAAACTCAGGTTGGCTATAATCTGACCAAGTAAAAAGGGACAATCACTTTCCTTGTTCTAGATGTTCCACTCTAGCCTAACATCAGAGTTTCTTTTCTAAAGGTCACTTCATACTGATACTTACAGCTCCAAGGGACATCTTACACTATTACTCTATGCCTCTTGTTAGATTTAGAGGAATTCTCAGGTATTTGAGGGATTAAGAATGAAGAAATGAATGTGTGGATGGATGGATGGATAGATAGATGGGCAGATGAGTGAAACCACCATTCATAGGTTTCCTATCAACAGAAGAGATTGATGAAATGAAAATTTCAGTCCTTTTTATGGAATTAATGATTTGTGACCCTGACTGACTCAATAGAGCCCTGGTTGTAGGGTGGGGCCCATTCTTCACTCTCTTAACTTCAGTGCTCCCAAGGGACTCCCTACTGGGATTCCACAGACATCTCTTTCTAATAAACAAGAAGCGCCCAGTGGCAGAAGAGTAGAGTAGACTCTAAAGTGAAGTTAAAAGAGCAATACTGAACTTCACCAAAACCAGTCATGGTTCATCATCTGTCTTTTCAACTCTAACAACAGACTCAGCTTGATAAAGGCCTTTAGATATAAAACATGTTTTTTCACATCAATTTGCTTTGATGTCTGTGGAAGCCTTAAAAACATCTCATGAAAATAAATGTTTTATCCATTGAACCAAACCACAAAAATAAACATATCTTTATCAGGTACACAGACCCCTGTGTTGCTATAATATGGGAATCCACAGGGGATCTGTGAAACAGGAAATATGTCATTTCTTCCATTTTCTTCTTTCAGATTTAGAAAAGAAGATTCAAGACTTGAATCTAAGCAAACAAGAAAAAGCTGATCAACTGAAACATTTGGAAGATCAAGTAATTGCCATTAAAAATGAAATTATTGAGCGAGAAAATAAATATGCTACCTGCTATAGTTAGAGCTAAAGTAGCAAATGCCTGTGCCCTAGTTACTGGCTGCTGATGCGCAAGCACACAGAACGGTGCTGAACTTGTGAAGCAGAGCATCAGCCTCTTCCACCTTCCATTCCCTAGCCCCTCTTCTTATAGATCTGCTTCAGTGGCTGCAGGCAGAACTGAGGCAAGATGCACTACTTCATGTGTAGTAGAAAGAGGAAACCGAGATTGATGCTGGCTTCAGAAAAACCCTTCCTCTTGCCTCCCTTTGCCTTTCCTAACTTAAAAATAACTGGTTAATGCATAACAAGTAAAATTTAAATAAGCATATGTATTTGCTTAAACCCATTGCAATCAAATGACTCTAAACTTTTAAATAAATATCTCTAAGACTACCAGTTGCCATGGAGTCAGTTCCAATTCATGGTGGCCCCATGTGTGTCAGAGTAGAACTGAGATCCATAGGGCTTCAATGGCTGATTTTTCTGATGTAAATCACCAAACTTTTCCACTGAGGCACTTCTGGATGCACTTAAACCTCACATCATTTGGTTAGCAGTCAACTGCACCACTTAGGACTCATCTCTAATACTGGGATGGACCAAATGTGGTGGCAAGTACTAGATTGCCCTTTCTTAATAATTTCATGGGGATTTGCTTTTATTTGTAAAGCTGTTATTCTGAGTAAAATGCATATAGTTCAAAATGTAACTTACTTTGCATTGACTTTTTTTTTTTTAAGTTTTCATTGTGACTCGAGAGTTTACATGAAAGAACATCAGTTTTACACTCATCGTTTCATTGCAATGATTATAATCCCCTCTATCCATCAACAGTATTTCTTTTATTCGCTCTATTTTGTTGTTGTTGTTTGTTTGTTTTGGAAGATGTACACAAAAATGCTCAGGAATACATAAAGAACACATTCTGCCTCCTGGCTGCCAGCACTCAGTCTTTCTCTTTCCACGAGTCTAGATTCCTCAGCTGCTCTCTCTCTCTCCATGTCCTCATCTCTGCCTCCATCTCTGGTGTCGCTGCTTCTCTGGATAGAATCCCACATTCTGCTCATGCTCTTCTCCCTTGATGGTCCTAAGATCCTCTGTTCCTGAACTATAAGATTAACTACTTCCCCCTTTTTGTTACAGAACTTCTACCTTTACAGATTTGACAATTGCAATTAGTCATGATAACAATTACTCTTTATTGAATCATAAGAATCGTATCCCCATCTCTTTTCACCAGACCCATCTAGAGAAAATAAAAACTATTCAATGGGGATCCTGCCTTGCCCTGCACACTCTTAAACTAAACGCCCTCTTGAAAACTTGTAAGCCAGTCACTTTGTACCTTTATCACCCCCTCATTTTAGGTAGCGTAGTGGTTACGAATCGGGCTGCGAACCTTAAGGCCAGCAGTTCGAAACTACCAGCCGTTCCACGTGAGAAAGATGAGGCTTTCTGCTCCTGTAAAGATTTACAACCTCGGAAACCCTGTACAGGGTCGCTATGGGTCGGAGCCGACTCTAAAGCACTTAACAACAACAACAACAATGTCTAAGTTGCCCATCCCTATCTACCCTGTGTACCGAGCAGATAGGCTTGATACTTGATGTATCAAGTATCAAGACTCCTTCCCTCACTGTTGGTATTTTGAGCTACTACATCCATAAGTATAGGTTAAGTTTATCAAATTGTAGCAATTTACTCTTTTCCTTTATCAAAAATTGTGTTGTTTTTTTTTAAATCTTCCTCTAGTTGAGTTCTGATCATCAAGCCATCAAAGCTGGGTCAAATGGGTGCTGTCTGCAAGTTTGGGTGTTCTCCCCTCACGTCATATCAGCTGGATGCTTCATTCTCAGCTCTAGCCCTCTGTGGATATGTCCTTTTCCATGGGCTCAGGTGTCCCAGGTCTCACCACACTTTGAACCAACCAGCCCTTCCTCTTCTCTCTCTCATCTCCAGGTCAATGGGAGTCTATGGAATGTGGTCAAACTCAGCTCACATCTTCATTGCTGCCTTTCCCCCTCTTCTACTCACCAGTAGACCAGTGTGGTTGCCAGCAAGCTTACATGCCTGCTCATGTGCTCCCTTTGAGCTTCAGTCTTTGAGAGAGGTTTGTACTGAAGGGACTTGATTGCTTGCCTTTATGGCTTCCCGGTGAACAACTTGCTTGTTCTTGTAGTAGCCAATCAGACTGCCATTTTTGTTTTGGATTTTTCCTGTTCATCAGTCTTTCAAGAAATTTCTTCTGTTGCGCTAGCTGTTCCAGGTTGGTCTGCTTGTCCTTTCCAGTGGGACAATCCCACTTCAGAAGGTTCTGGATGGGACTCATGGTTCCACCTATGGTTCTATACATTGCAAAGGCTCCTCAAGAAGCCTATTTCACTGGGCAAGTTCTAGAACCCCCTTTTAGGTATTCCAATCAGTTATAGGTTGAAGACAGGCTTACAAGATTTCTGTAAACATCACATTAACTTTTTAACACATTCATTTTCTCAGCCAGAGGATTCTGTCTTTTCCAAGTGGCACTGGAACAATATTTCAAAAGATGAATATTGAAACACTTTTTATAATTTTCCAGCAGACATTTTTTGCTACAAAATCTGCTACTTATTTTAAAAAGCAATCAACTCTTATTATTTACTATAAAAACTCAGATTATTTCTTTTGAAAATGAAGCTATGATTTTACACTAACTCATTTTGCATAATCTCATATGTCACAAAATAGAGCTGCAGTTTCTGAGCACTATCCTCCAGAGGGATTATTTCAAGGAGTTTGGTCCTACATTTTTGAGTAAGAAATAATGTGCATCAGCAATGAAGTACGTATGAAAGAGAGAAAGCAGCTGGAGCCATTCCCATTAAGGACTGACTCCAAATAAATTGAGTTAAAAAAGCATCCAAAAGCTGTAGAATTATGCATAAATGTGATTTTTAAAATGTAGGTAATAATGAAAAATTGCAAAATATGTTTCCCTGGAGATCCTGAAAAATAAAATCAAACTTTTCTAGAAGAAGGACAACCCCAGAAATCTCTCTTAAAATATGTTGTTGAAGTATCCCACATATCCAGCACTGAAACTTCTGGAAATCTCCACCAGTGTTCAACAAAAAGTCCTGGAGTGTTGAAAATTAAAACTCCCAAGTCTAAGTACATTACTCCAAAGCAGAGGGTAGAATCATGACTCAGACTCCTATCAAAATACTTTATACAAATGATCGACGTAGTTTTACAAGTGTGGTTATCTGTTTGTAATGGCAACATCCAATTGTTCTTTCTTTTCAGGCCAGGAGGTGTTCTTTTCTTGTTGTTAGGTACCCGAGTTGCTTCTGACTCACAGAAACCTAATGCATAACAGAACAAAACACTGCTCAGTCCTTCCCCTTCCTCAAAATTGTGATTAATCTTGAGCCTGTTGCTGCTGCCAGTGTGCCTTTTGTTCAGGAAAGACGTTTTAGAAATTCCTAAGTACAAAAGATTTTACAGAACTCCTCTTATTTTCTGGAGAATAATGAGGTTCACTTAACCAGGGTCCTACAGCTAGTTGGTAGAAATGCCATTCGAGATATACCATGTAGCATGACTCATTCTGTTCTATCAAATTCTCTTCTTTCAAGACAATTTTCTCTTTAAAGTGATTTTAGTGGCCCTTGGTGACTTTTTTAAAATGTACCACTAAGCCAAACAGACCATTTTCTCAAAAATGACTAAGCAAAAATCTAGAAGAAATAAATAAATTTTTAGAAAAATACAACCTACCTAAACTAAAACAGAGTGAAGTAAAAAACTTGAACATACCTATAACAAAAGAAGAAATTGATCAGGTCATCAAGAAAAACTTCCAACAAAAAAAAAGTCCAGACCCAGATGGCTTTACTGGTGAATTTTACCAAGCATTCAGAGATAAACATTCAATTTTACTGAAATTATTCCAGTGCATAAAAAAGGATGGAAAAGTCCCAAATACATTTTATGAAGTGAGTATAATAACCCTCATACTAAAATCAGACAAGGACATCACTAAAAAAGAAAATTATGGACAAATGTCTCTCATGAACATAGATACAAAAATTCTCAACAAAATCCTAGCCAACAGAATTCAACAATATATATATATAATACATCATGACCAAGTGGGGTTCATATTAAGGATGCAAGAATGGTTCAATCATAGAAAAACAACCTAATCCACCATATAAATTTAAAAAGGAAAAGAACCATATGATCATATTGATCGATGCAGAAAAGACATATGACAAAATCCAACATCCATTCTTGATAAAAACACTCAGCAAAATAGTAATTGATGGAAAAGTCCTCAACATATTAAAGCATATATCCAAATCCAAGAGACAACATTACTCTCAATGGAAAGAAATTGAAAGCATTCCCTTTGCGAATAGGAACCAGATAAAGATGCCCTTTATCACCATTCCTATTCAACATTGTGTTGGAAGTCTTATACGGACTGGAAGTCTTATAAGGCAAGAAAGGGAAATTAAAGGGATCTAAATTTGTAAAGAAATAAAATGCTCTCTATTTAAGGATGATATGATCATATAAATAGGAAATTGCAAAGCCTCAGCAAGAAAATTATTGAACTCATTGAAAGATTTAGCGAAATGGCAGGGTACAAAATCAATATACAAAATCAATTGGACTCAATGCTTTTGAGTTATGGTGTTGGAGGAGAATATTGAAGGTGCCATGGGCTGCTAAAAGAACCAATAGGTCCATTTTGGAAGAAGTGCAGCCAGAGTGCTCCTTGGAGACCAAGATGGCCAAACTTCGTCTCTCATACTTTGGACATATTGTCAGGAGGGACCAGTCGCTGGAGAAGGATATCAAGTTTGGTAAGGTGGAGGGTGAGAGAAAAAGAGGAAGACCTCCAACAAGATGGATTGGCCAAGTGGCAGCATCAATGAACTCAAGCATAGCAACAAGATCGGGCAGTGTTTCGTTCTGCTGTGCATAAGGTCGATATGGTTCAGTACCGACTTGATGGCACCCAACAACAACAAC